GGTGGTAGGAACAAAACTGCTACTAACTTTTCAAATGTCAATTTGGAAGTATCCCTAAATATTTAAAATACACAGGCACTTAAGAGAAGAAAAAAACTGAAATTGCCTAAATGTCTATCAATAGGAAACAGGTTAAGTAAATGACCAAACACCCATGCAATAGAAGGCTACGCAAATAATTAGAAAAATACCTACACAAGCAATACATGTCAGCACAGAAAGTTGTCCTAGATAGTTTTGTATGTAAAAACACAAACCACTTGGCAATATGAAAGCATGATCCTATTTGTATTAAAATATAAAAGGGTATACATATTTATGTTTATATATGTATAGGAAATGATGTAAGGATACACAAGAATTCGTTAACAGTGATTACCTCTAGAAAGGCGGAATGGTGGAGGGGATTGGGGAAGCATTTTCTTTTCATCGTACATCCTTCTGGTACTGTTTGGACTTTTTACGGTGAGGAAGAACTATTGCCTTCAATCAGTCATATATTAAGGAAATGAGCTAAAAGAATGTGATACCAAATGAATGAATGAATACATATACACACACGTACGTACCTACGTACATACGTAAGAGTTAGATCTTCTGTGTGTCGAAAACTGCGTGCTCAGCCCTGTGCTAGTCTGGACTGAGTCAAGTTTATGGATTCTGCTCGTATTTGCCGAGGTCTTACATATCCAAACCAACCTTAAGTCGTTGACCCAAGGATAATGGGTTAACTATGAAGTCATATACTGTGCGATATTACAGCTGCCGTAACAAACACCATGGACCCCAAGAAGGGTCCTGAAACCAACAGATTCTTTTTTAGGAGAACTGGTAGCTATTGGAGTTCCGGAAGGAAAAGTCTTTCCTCAACCCATCACCCCTCCCTGCTCTGCCCCACACAACCACACTTTTTCCTCTCCTCCACCAACTTCTTTCCCTGGCCTGTTCCAGGCAAGAGAAATGCAGATCCAAAATCTCTGCCTTTCCTCAGCACTCACCTGGATTGAACATGCAGCAAGTTAAGCAATGATTCAAGCTGCTTCATAAGCCTCCTTGTAAGCACACCAGAGAAACCAGGCAGCAGATCTTATGGAAGTCCTATCTATCTATCTATCTATCTATCTATCTATCTATCTATCTATCTATCTATCTATCTATCATACATACATACATATGTAGGCACGTAGCCATATCTGTTTATATGTGTGTGTGTATACACACACTAGCACACGTGCATACATCTGGTTTCCATGGGAATCTGTGGAGCAGTTCTAAGTGTCTGTCCAGGCAGATGCTGTGCTTACTACTAATGTGGGGAGGAACCACACAGAGGAGGGGTAGAAGAGGGGAAGGGAGGGCACTAGGGTCTGTGGGTGGGCCTGATCTCCAGGCAAGGAAAGAATTTGGCTCATTTGGTATATTTTTGTTGGATCAGATCATTAGATAGTAAACATGCCATAAGTCTTTGAGCCAGGTCAGTGATAAAGAGGGAAATGTTTTTATTTCTTTGTGTGCTCAGGATCACAAACTTCCTAAGAGAACAAGGTATTCACCTTCAAAATAAGATCTTCTTCGCACGGTAAAATACAGACATACCTTCCTGCTTCAGCTGCACTCTTTGAAGCTAACTTTTCTCCTACACCAGTCTTTCCCAGAACCGAACACCTCTGGTAGCTCAGCCTGGACCTCCCCCCGGCCCTTTTGCAGGCCCCATGGTCTGGCCTGAGTAGGTCCAGGAGACCAGTACAAGCCTCGCCTGGCAACAGTTTTTCTCCATTTTAATGAATCTCATTTGCCCATAAGACTCGTTTTTTAAAATTCTGACTCATGCCAGGCTCATTTATTTGGTATTTTGGCTTGATGAATACCCAGGTTTTAACCCACTTAGGACTGTTTTTCTGCCTAGTTCTGGAAACTTAGGTTTTTGTCTAATTACTCCCCAACCCCAACCAGCTCACTGCTCCCATTTTCTCTTATATCCCTCATCCTCCCAACACCTACAGTCATTGTTGGCTGGCCTCCCAACACACACATACACAGACACAGATACACGCACACAGATATACAGACACATACACACACACAAACACACACACAGATACATGCACGCACATTGACTAGATACCGGACAAGCAACCCTTACAATGCTAGAAGGTTGAAGATTTGATTATTATTTCACTTACTACAAGTAAGGCAACAGAGAGGAAGACTTTCTGGAATGTTATGTGAAAATTTGCATTTCCTCTTAAATTCTGTCTCTTCTGCAGTCTTTTTTCTTCCTTCAAAGACTTATCCTTCAAAGAAAGGTCCTCTAAGGATTTGTTTTTCATCTGAGACCAAACTACTAGCTCCTGATTGGGTGAAATTGTGAATTATGGAGTGTGAGAAGAAAAAATTTTCAGTAGAAATTAATTTGTAAACATCTTTCTTTTTCTCCTCTCCTGGGGATGACCCACATACCACAAAAATGTTCAGTCTCAGATTTTGAGTTCAGCAGAGACTTCCATTTTCATTAGTTGTCCCAAGGATTTGCACTATCATTCCCTTTGGAGGAAGCACAAGGAAAGTGGCTTGTGTGGGAGTTAAGTCTCCTCAGAGCAACTCTGGGAAAGGCAAGCAGGACCAGTTTCTGCCATTGCTAACAGTGCCACGTGCACTGCCCCCTCCAGGAGTGTCAGCGGGCATCGTGAGTCTGGGCTGTTGGAGGAGGAGGGAGCATCCACGGGGCTCTGCTCAATGCTGCCCTGCCCTGCCACTGCTCTGCCCTGCTCTGTGTCCACGTGTCACGAGAATACAGGTGCCCAGCAATGCTGGTGACACTCCTTAACACTGATCTCTCCATTTCACAGATGGGTATCATTGTTATTTTGATGCCATGCCAGGTATTTGCTTTAAACCCAACTCTCTACAGACCATTTTAGATGGACCAGAAATAACTTTTATGGCCTGTGAAATACCTTTCTCTCGGAATGTTTTGTTGTGCTTTGAGTACATTTTAACACAGTGAGGTCACATTCACAGACTCATAGAGACACAGGGATAGAAAGCAACTCCAGAGACATCCCATCCGTCACCGTGACGCCAGGCAGGCTTCACCCAAACCACCCCAGACATAGGTAAATATCCTGTTTTCACAGGTCATCAGGAAGAGAGACTCCACACCACTCTTGGGTAACCCATTCCAGTGCTGACTTCTCTTCAACACTGTCATTATATTTGTATCACAGAGAAATGCCCCATACTAGACTGCTGTGAGCTTTAAAAACCCAAACTTGTATATTTTGAACCAGATGTCACAAAGCAGCTCGATTGTCAGCACACTGTTGAGCTGGTATTGAAAAACTCCATTTCAAACCAAATACATCTACCCTCTGGGTTGGACCCAATCAGACAGCTTTCACTTTACAGTAAACGTGTGACCGGCCGTCCTTGGGATTCCCTTCCATCTTGAATCTGGTCATCACTAAATGTTGAGATTCTGCAGGTGTACCCTTAAGTGTTCCTGCTCCCAGAAATCACAGCCATCGTGTCCCTTTCCCTAAATCGTGTTAGCAGGAGCAGAACTGCCATAAAAAGCAAAGAGCTCTGTTTCACAGAGGGTATTCACTTAGACACACACAAAGCTTTCTGACACTTGGTTTGTTCTCTTGGTTTTTAGAAACAGCGGCTTTAAAGGAGTTCTTTCCCTGACTTTTCCCTTCTGCGATGCAATGCAGGAAACCCCGATGTGGTTTCTGAGAGGTCCAGTTACATTTTGGCATATGATGATCCGCAGGGCCTTCTGCAGTTAGAAGCGAAATAGCTGTCTCCCTTTCTTTCAGCTGTTTCCCTTGGCAAAGTAGAAAGTCATAGGAACCATATCGGTCAGGAAAGCCCTGACCAAGAGCTGGTATGAACCTCAGACAAGACTCAGCTCGATGAGATGCAGTGTGCGCCGTCATTGTCTGAGACGGAGGGTCTGAAATTGACACCATATGCGCCCAGAGGAGTAATTGCTCCAAGGGGGGAGAAAAGCAACATGTCAGAACATTTTAGTAACACCTAATTCATCCTGAGGTTATAAATAAGTCTGATGCTTGCTTAAAAACAAAAGGCGAAAAATACTTTGACTAGATTACTTTGTGACAGTGCTTCCGGCAGAGGTGAACTTTATTAGGGAGACAACATGAATAAAGAAAAACACATAACAACTTTTTATGGTATATTTTACGTGATTTTATTTTTTTTGCAGTAAATAAAGTGGTTATAGGGCTCCAAGGAAAAGGGCCCAGATGTTAGAGAGTTGTGTGAAATTTAGGGGAAACAAGCTGTAAAAAGCACAGTCATAAAACAGGCTGTCAGTGCCACACATCTGGACAATACAGCTGTATGTTCCTAGCGGCTGTCGTCACCCAAAGAAAACTCAATAACCTTATTTCACCCCAATTAGGCTGCATACCAACAGGATCAACATTAAGTTGCAAGGGGAGGGGAGCAACATTCATATGGCGCCTCTATGTTAAGCAGCTTTTATCTTTCATTTGAATTTGGTCACCAAGAAATAACAGACTGCTAACATAGCCATTTCCATTATTATAAAACCTTATTTAATTTATAACATCCTAATAAGTCAATGTTTGACAGTTTGGACTATTGGCTGTGCCAAACAATAGACTTTCTGTGGCATGAAACTGACCTATCTGTCATCCTAAATGGAGCCCTGCCTGTCTTTCCTCTACCCCTTTTTGGGAGTCTGAATCTAGCACTATTGTGGGAAACACTCTGCCTTATTGGAAAAAGAAATTCATTTTCAGACAACCCGATTTATGTAAAGAGAGGATAAATGCCCCTTTCTATGGCACTGGGGCATTTTTCTCTAATTTTTTTGGCCGGCAATGAGGCACTTTTTGCAGTAAGACAAATATTACAAAACTGAAATACCATTTCGTCTTTTCATCACTGACAGACTGTGCCAAAGGTTATAAAATGCCACTTTTCCTAATAATTGTGTTTCTTCATAGGTGTTAATAGCAGCAAAGGCAATTATGGACAGTGGAGAGAAATTAACCTTGCCACTGATAGGGAAACTCTTGAAATACCAGCTTCTCCAGATTAAATTTAAGGACCAACAGCGACGGGAAAACGAAAAAAAGGTACTGTACGATGGTGCATTTTCTAAAGACGGCAAGCGGTGAATGAAATGGAGCCAGGTTTCTCCAGGGGCACTTCCTTTCGTCCTAAGCCTACCATTAAGTGTTACCTAGCACATTTAGCTGTCGCCTCAACTTCTGAGGGCAAAGGCTATCCAAAGACCTATTGGAGGAATTATATTTTCTCAAAGACACATTAAAAATAAGTTCCCTTATGCCGAAATATGACAATATTCAGGGCATGTGCCTGAGGTTGTTTTTGTAGTAGTCTATTTGTATCCTGGTAACAAAGAGGGGAACCAAGGAGAGACAGAGTCGGGAGTAAATATTAAAAGGTGAAAAAGCCCACAAAGTCAGGGTCTAACTATTTAAAATATTTTATGTGATATTCGATAGGAGTGCCTATTAAAATAATAGTCTACATTTGCACCTTCATAATAATCTGAATATTTCAGCAGCAGTCCATCCCTTCTACTCCCATATTATAAGTATGATTATTTCTTCACATGTAGATTTTTCATTTAAGTGCCTATGGAAATCAATCTGTATTTTCCAAAGATTCATATTTTCATCTGAAAAAATATTTTAAAATACTTTTAACAAAATAATGCCAGGTTCAAATCTATTTGCTATTATCATTACTCAAAATAAGAGATGTTTTTCTTATTTTCCAAATCATGCTGAAATATTTTTGGAAAGCCAAATGCTTCTCTATGTACGTGTGTAATATATGTGTGTGCACGTGTATGTATGAAATGGATTTACATGTAATTGATGTCTTTATGCCCCTAAGAGGGAGAGGCAAAATCAGTTCATGGAAGAAGAAAGAAAAAAGTGAACATTTCCCCATAATACCTTCTTCACCTTTGCAAGACCCCCAAATCTGGTTTCCTATTTGAATTGGACTCTTGACAGGATAATTGTAGGAAAAAAATAATAATGCCACCTTATATTTGTAATATTGGGCTTTATGTTTTTGAAAGAGATTCCCCATATAGCATCTTATTAGGGCGGCGCATATCGTCTTCAGTAAAAATTCTACTCTCGTGAACACACTTGATGGTATAGTGTTCCACCTCTTGAAGCTCTTTCCATCATACACAGGAGATTTGTACCTTAAGAAATACTCAGAGAAGTTAAGACTTGGCATAAGAAAAATTGGAAAATTTGAAACTAGTATAGAAACATCTTTTCTTGCCTATTTAAATTCCAATGTCATATGGGAATCTGAATTATAAAAAGTAGACTGTGAGTCCTGTGAAAATTCCTGCTGCTTTGTGCTTTTTGCTTCCCCATAGCACCTACAGATATATCTAATGTGCGAAAGGACGTGCATTTACTTGTTTGCCAGCTATTTTAAGTCAGTAATTGTTTGTGATAAGAGTAGGTTTTAGATTTCAGTTAACAAATTTTAAGTAACAATAAATGGAATAATCTGGTAGCTCAGGAAAAGTTTTTAAAGCTAGCAATGATAAAAAATATTTCTGCACTGTTATTTCACTAAGCATTTCTTTGAAATGTGAACTATAATAACACAGTTATGACATTCTAAAGATATGGAAATAATCTTAACTTACTTCTTGACAATTCAAGAGTCCTAAAGAATTGGGGCTTGAATTTTAGATATATATATTTATAAAAAAAAAAAAGTAATAGATGTGTAAGAGAACTCTTTGAGCAATTAAGAGCCAATAATTACATAATCTAATTTCATGTCTTCATTAGATTGGGTTCCCAAAACACCAACCCCAAATCTCTGAGTTGCAACCATGAGTAAGTGCTAAAAAAATGGATGAAAACTGATTGGAAAGGAGTATACTCCAGAAAATGCTCTTGGTAAAGGCAAGATTAAAGGAGTTGTTGGAGGGATGATATAATCTATGTTCATTTCAGCAACACTGCCCAACAGGTCAGTGGGAACAACTGGGGTTAATGCGTGTCAGCCAGGGAGTTTGGCAGAAAGCAGAGTAAGTATAAAGTACGTAAAACTGACACCACGCTGTGGATTAGAAAAAGAAAAGAGGACTTGACCCAATTTCTTCCTCTTTCTTGAACTCAGGGTGAGATTCTGAGATTCTTACAAGGGGAGCGACTGTCTTTGGTTTTTTAACATCAACGCGAAATCTATGTAGATGTTTTCTTTCAAATACTAATATATTGCTTACATCTGTACAACCTAGTGAGTGTTTTGTATCTTCTGTGTTGAATTTTCAGAAATTGTATTTTTAAAAATGAATGCTTAAAAAGTATCCAAAGCAGTAAGTATGGAAAATACTAGGGAGAAGGTGTGGTCAAAAATTACTAATATAATTAGATCCTTGTCCTTTTTCCCTGATGAAACAATTGTAATGTATCACTATGTATTCGTCCTGTTTTAATCAATCAAAACTATTCTGAAGAATAAATGGTAAATAACATAGTTTCAATTGCCAAATATAGTAAAAATATTATTTTCGATTCCACTAATTTTAATAATTTATAAAACTTTAGTCTGGGCTATGCTTAATGTTGCATTTGCTTTGTGCATGAAGAAAGTTTGCTGGCTAATTAATATTATAAAAAATAATACAAGGAAAGATATTTCTTAGAAGAGCTGTTTTGAAGCCTTCGCACATGATTTTCTGGGATACAAATGCCTGTCTCTAATGTAAATAAATTGCATATATTTGAAAACATTTATCCATTTGGAAACACTTTGTTAATTAGTTCCAAATATACATATCATGAAGAAAATACAGTATATTTTTTTCATGATATGTATATATATATAAATATATTTCAGCATTTCAGAACTTCTGAACATGACTCTCTCATAAAATTAATCCCAAATTAGATTTTATTATATCTTAAAATCTGAATAAGAGAGTGTTTTGTTTAGGAATGAATTTTCTTTCCATACATCATTATCTCAACATTTATTCCACATCTTTAGTTCTATCATTATCGATCTATTGTTAATTCATTAACTTAACATAGATTAGCTGAGACAAACATTTACAGAAACAATATACTGGGCACATATATTTTCATAATGTTCATTATAATTTTAAAATAAATTGCTTGGTTTCTATTCTGATCCATGTTTTAATTTAGTCATTACCTGAATATTATAGTATCACTCAAATTTTTACTTCTTTTTAACTCCAACTTTCATGTTATATATTAATTATAAACATTTATTTAGAAACAAAACACTTAATTGTGAATCAAAATATTTAAAATATATTGATAATTCAACTAAAAGAAAATATTTAATCATCAAAAAAAAATAAATGAAAAATGGCTACAACACAGAAAACATTAACATTTTAAATAATCAGCCAGACTAAATCTAGTCTTCTGTGCCTCTGGGTCGAGTTCAGGACATTTGCATAGGTTTTAGGAAAAGATTCAAATATAATTCTTACTGTGCTTTTAATTTGTGAATTCAAATAACTAGTCCATATTTTCTTGGATATCTTTAGCATATCTTTTATATAGAAGGAAAACAGTTCTTTCTCTTTCTAGCTTATATACTTTGTACATGTTGCCTTATTTTCTGATGTGCTAGAATTGAAGACAAGGAAGATATGCAGTAAAGAACGAAGGAGAGATGGTATTGGTAATCTTTTCTTAATACAACTCCAAATTAAATGCACCTAAATTTGATAAGACATCATGATGTAGCCATAAACAACCTAGGGCCTGCTCCGAAGAGGGATGGAGAGAAATTAGAGTGGTTTTCACAGACATTTTCCAGTTTACTCCAGTTGAAACCCCGAAACACTGGACACCAGCCAATGTAATGCCATTTTTTGCGTATGTTTTGTTTTAAAAGAAAGGCTATGGGGACATACCAGGAAATTACAGGCTGGTTAGTTTTGATTCAGTTGTGGTTAAAATCTTCAGAAACTGTTTTAAGAAATCAAACAGAGGAAGAGCAGGAACTCAGTTTAGAGGGCCCCGTGTGGTTTTAGGAAAGAAATAACTTGCCTCACTAACTGGATGGAATTCTTTGAGGCTGGATTATCGAAATGAGAATACTACCAGCGACACTGTTGGATCTAAGGAGCTGCAAAATCCAACAATTCAGGGTAAATAATAAATGACTCCCTGGTTGGCATATCTGTAAAATAGAAAATAAAATAGTGCTTTCCTAATTGGGATGCTTTTAATTAATGAAAACTTTTTATGGACTTCAGGAAAAATGAAAAGAAACGTATTTAAAATAGAGTGGTATTTTTAAACACAAATAACTACAGTTACAGCAGCTAATAATAATAATTAGCTACCATCATTGACGGTTTGTCACTATACTAACCTCTTTACACGTTATATCATTTAATCTTTTAAATAACTTTGTGAGGTACAGAGTATTATTCCCAACTTGCAGATGGGGAAACTGAGGATATGAAAAGTTAAGTAAATTTCCCAAGGCCAAACAGCTACTCAGTGGTAGAGCTGGGATTCAGATCCATAACTATCAGACTCTAAAGACCATGTTCTTAACCACTGTGCATACCCCTCCCAAGTGTGTCTCAATAATTATACACAATGGCCCTCTTGGCCCACCATCAATGGAGTGCCTGCTCAGGGATGTTTCCCTGTAGGAGCAATGGCTTTGCTCAGTGATCTACCAACAGCCCTCGGGTCCCACTAATTACACTGCATAAAATATCCTGAGGTTAAATGTGGGGACAAGTCAAGGAAAGGGTCAAACCTCACCAAAAACTAAGGCCGCTGAGCTAACTAACCACCAAGTCCCAAGGGAATCATGACTTCATTTCCAGTGCCACTCCCCTACCCAGAAATGACCTGGTCTCTGGGGAATCTCTTAGAACTAGACTTCCTAAGATTATTCCAAACATCTTCACCCCCTCTCTCTGCCCTTCTGGATGGTGAGGTAGGATAGCATTGGCTAATTCGGTGCTCAAGTCTCTCAGTCACATAGGATACTACAGGAGACAGACATCAAATAGACATCAGATCCCCCTGCCTCACCCCCACACACAGACGTGGCCATGTTCTGATTCTGTGAATTAGGAATTGCACCCTGAAGATGGCAGTGTGGCACCCCAGGGCATTCTGCAGCATTCTAAAGAGTGCATCATTTGGTCAAGCGAACCCAATACATTCCTAGGCTTATATTTTCTACAACCCAGCAACTCTCTAGAGAAGCAAGCTCCTACCTCAACCCCAGGCGTTACATTTTCTATTCAGTGGAGGAGGAATGAGGAGAACAGGGGGAAAAGAATAAATACAAAATATAGAAAAGGGAAAACAAGGGCCGGCTCGGTGGTGTAGTGGTTAAGTTCACATGCTCTGCTTCATCGGCTCAGGGTTCATGGTTTCAGATACTGGGTGTGGACCTACACACCGCTCACTCATCAACCCATGCTGTGGTGGTGTCCCACATGCAAAGTAGAGGAAGACTGGCACAGATGTTAGCTCAGGGACAATCTTCCTCACCAAAAAATAAAGGAAAAGGAAAAACAAAATATTCATAATGCCATAATCCTATTACAATTAATGTTAGCATTTTGGTACATTTCCTTTCTGTTTCTTTCTGTGGATTTGTTTCTTTACATAGGTGTAATCATTGTAAAAAAATTTTTAATCCAGCTTTTTTTCGATTAAAATGTATCGTAATTTTTACTCATGACCACAGCATCCACATCTGTCACTATTATTGGTTATGTGATATTGTATTGACTACTATACTTTCATTAACCATTCCTCCATTGTTGAACATTTAGTTTATAATAAACAATGTTGTGATGAACAATTTTATAGTACAGAATTCTCCATATTTTTGATAATTTCCTTAGCGTAATTTATAGAAATGGAAATGGATTAATTGGGCCCCAAAATGTTCCCATAACCGTGTGTTTCCAAAGTAGGTTCTAGAACCATTTAGACCCAGTTCTTAATTAAAAACAAAACAAAACAAAAGACCTCCTGGCCAAATGAACTTGGAAATCACTGTGTATTATATACAAATCTTGAAGATTTAACAACATATTAACTTATTAAAGATGGAGGAGTCTCATGAAAATAAATCTATTTAATATTTTTTAATCTACTGTCTCTCAAACTTATTTGATGTGATACATTTCTTTCAGCCCATCTATTGTCCTCTCATCATCTGTGACCAGTAGAATAGATTGTTTATGAGACAGAGTAATATCTTGAAAGACAGCTAGGGAAGCACTCAGAAGACCGACCCGGTTTCTTATAAACCATATAATAATGGAGTAATTTTGTCACTGAACCTCCATGAGCATGTTTTCTTATCTATATCCTTACTAATATTATTGCAGGAATCTTATGATAGATCATATATGAAATACAAAGTTATACACAAATATGTAGATGTGTTATTAACTATAGGATTAAGATGAAGTATAGCTCTTTACCATCAGTTCCACTGACTTTTACCATTTACTTCCCTATCATTGCAAGGAATAACAGAATAAATACCTGCCAAGGTATTTCAAGGTATTTGAATTTTAACATCAATAAGTCATTTGGACATAGAAAATAATCTAAAATACGTTGAAGTATCAAATAACTAGGTTGCCTGTTACAGAGAGGAGAATTTTGTATTTTTCCCTTTAATAAGTGAGAATAACAAGATTAAGAATTCTAGGTAGGTGTCACTTGATATTCAACTGAGTATGTGAAATGCTAATGCTTTTTTTGGTTGTTGCTAAGACAAGAGCCCTCCATCTGCTATGTAGCTTAACTGGTTAAGAAATCTCTGTGCCTACCCAAAGCCATCTCACAGTAGGAGGCATCCAGATGCTTTTTGTACACACTGCATTTTAAAGGAAATGTACTCTATAACAAGCTTGACTCTCCCTTCATATGCCAGGGCACATGTGTTCCCCAAACACCGTGGAGAGAGGGGTCTTTTGGATACACCCCTCATAAATTTTTGTCTTGAATTGTCAAGAGTTCCCTCTGTTCTTTAAGTTGTAAGCAGATGACCATAGAATGAGAACATGCATGCTATGTTATCCAGAAGCAAAAAAAGGCCAAAGAAGAAATTGGTGTGAACAAATTTTAGTTTATGATTTAGAAGGGGGTCAATTTTGCTGAATGCTTGGCTAACCTGGCTCACGCCCTGCCCCCAAATCCCAAGACCTAAACCCATAGGTGGGAAGGGCTTACTCAGAATGTGAGAGCATAGAGAGAAAAGGAAAAAAATAGGAGGTGATTTTCCTATGATTGGGGCTTGCTAGAAAAGAATGTTTCACCTTTGGACCAAAGTAGAGTTGTAGGGGCCAAGCAGTCAATCACCGTCCAGAACCAGAGGGGCAAAGGAACTGTCCTGGCTCAGCTCAAGTATGGAGGGTGGGCGTAGTGAGGAGCAGGCTGAATACAGGAGAGGAGTAGGTAGACCACCATTAGAGCCAGCCATAGGAGAGCAGAAAGGACCAAGTAGGGCAAGGAACATGATCAGAAATCCACCAAGGAATTCTCTGCCTGGATCTGGTGCCCAGGAGGACCCACGCATTTTCATTCACTTCTGTTCTCTACCGTATAGTTTCTCTACACCAGGAAAGTGCACATACAGTTGCTCTATCTGGGAAATTGTTTATATATTAATACTTCTTGAAATCTTACCGACTGAAGATATATCACTGTTAAATGGAAAATGCAGAACACTAAGTTGTATAGAGAGAGCAATAACAATTAGGTAAAAATGATGCATAAACATAATTTGAAAGAATGCATTAAATATCTTCTTCACTCATCTTCTCTGGGTGGTAGAAATATGGTGATTTTTGTAAGTTCTCTATATAGTTTCCAATTTTTCAACAATAACGATTTTTAAAATTTTTAAAAGTTATTTAAAGAAGTGATTCAAGGGGCCAGCCCAGTGACAACGTGGTTGAATTCATGCACTTGGCTTTGGCAGCCCAAGGTTCGTGGGTGCGGATCCTGGGCGTGAACTTACACACCTCTCAACAAGCCACGCTGTAGCGGCATCCCACATATGAAATAGAGGAAGATGGACACAGATGTGAGCTCAGGGCCAATCTCCCTCAAGCAGAAACAGGAAGATTGGCAACAAATATTAGCTCAGGGCTAATCTTCCTCACACACATACACAAAAAAAGCGAATCAGGATTTATAAGTGTTTTAAAAATATTTCTGGGAAAGTGAGGGAGGCAGATATTGATAATTTCAGTGTTAATGGAAATGAGTTTAAAAGATGCTTTTCTCCCGTCTACCCAGTTTGACCTTACGAAGGGCGTGCAAAGGCAAAAAGAGAGAGAAAGAAGAGCGGGAAGAGTAGCTGAGGGAGGTGAGGCTCTGCGGAGAAACAACAGAGCACCAGCAAGGATTATCCAGCGCCTGGAAAGATGGGGCAGAGGGAGGGCAGACAGGCTGGAAAGGAAGGTGCGAAGGCATCAAAGACAGAGACTAACAGGAGAACCATGGAAATAAAATGAGATTAGAGCTTGAGTTCAAACCAGCTTGTGTCTTTACCACAGCTGTGTATCTGAGGACAAACGGTGTCTTAATTTATACCATGGAAGTAAAATTACCCAACTTGCAGGCTGCTTTGTGAGAACAAATTAAAGATGATGAAGATGTCTGGAAAGCACATATCATACTGGATCACTAAGTCTCCGCTACTAGAATTTACCGCTTATTTTGAACTTTTGATTGTGATCAGCCCCCTCTTTCTAAGATCCCAGGAGAAAGGGCTCAGAGAGTTCCTTGCTTTATAGACCTCCAGCCTTGCTACAGGGGCTGCAGAGGAATGAGAGCTATGTGGCTGCACAGGCTCGCGTACCCCACCTAGGAGAGCCTACAGGGGTAGAGGGCCCTTTTCCTGTTTTACCAGGAAAAGAAAAAAAAGCTTTCTTAAATTTCCACTGTACTCAGCAGTGTTTTTTGTAATGATGGAATAAATGAATGAACGTGTAAATAAATAAATGTTTATCCTTCTAGGCAAACTTGAAAATAATTTAACCTGAAACAGTTTCTTCTTTTCAGTTCTAAACATCACCCTGAGATTTTATCTAAAATTGCAGTTGTGGAAGTTTCTGGCACATTTTGATGGCAGAGTTGGGACATCTCTGTGGCCAGGCTAGCTGCCACCAAGGAGCTGCACAGGAGCGTTTTACTTTAGTGCGTTTGCCGTGATCCAAGGCCTGTGTGCGTCTTGCCAGTGCCTCTGAGCTAATTGGACTCACAGGCACTGATTTGCGCTCTAGTTTCATTTTAAATTAACCATCTCAAAATTTCCAATAAGCTCTCAACATTGGCAGAGAGTTCTACCCTATTTCTTCAGTAAGCCTGCGCCCCCACTTTCTGAGATGACTCACATTATCGTCTCTATCCAAAACCTCCTACCTATACCTGCCCATTCTCAGTTGATAACTTTGGCTCATCTTTCATTTGAAAAAATTGAAACATTCCCTCAACACCAGCAAGACTTCTCTCTTTCTTGCATCTGCACTCAGCCACCCAGCCCCTCCTTGCTCCTCTTATTAAATTGAGAAATTGCCTTTCCTCCTGTCAAAGTCCAGGCATTGACACATTCTCTTGATCTTATCCCACGTTGTATCCTCAAAGACTTAGTATTCTCCCCCATATCTTCAATGTCTCCCTCTCTACTGGATCATTCCATCAGCCTGCAAACACAACATCTCCTGACTTTACATACGTACATAGCTTGACCTCATACTCCCCTTCCGTCCACTCATCCACTGAATGGAAGCCCTGGTTCCCCTTCACAACCAAACTTCTCAAAACATTTGTCTACCTAAGTGGTCACCGTATTGTTACTGCCTCCCTATTTACTGCCTCCACACTCCACCATAACTGCTCTCATTAATGTCACCTCTAACTACTAATACTTGTCTTTTCGTCCTTTTCACTCCCCCAGTTCTCTGGCTTTACTCTCTGTTTTTTCCTACCTTTTTAGCATCTCTTCCCATTCATAGATAATTAACCACTATCTATATGTTACCCACACCTGAATTTGTAACTCTAGCCAAATCTCCCCTCTCAGAAGAGAACGTGTGTATTCAACTGCTTCCTTGACGTCTCAGGGGCATCTCAGATTTAGCATGATCACTCTGAGTAGTCTGCCCACCTTAAGTAAAAACCATTTCTCGCCCCAACTTCTCTATCTCTATAAGTGGCACCATCAACTACCCTGTTGTTCAGACTAAATCCAGGGCATTATATTTGTTGTTGCCTTCTTATTCACTCCTCATCTCTAGTCTTTCAACCTCTGTAGTTTCAATATCCAAAATAGATCTCAAATCCATCTGCACACAGTCCCCAACTTACGATGGTTCAACTTAACCGATTTTTTGACTTTACAGTGGTGGGAAAGCAATATGCAATCAGTAAAAGTCGTACTTCACATTTTGAATTTTGATCTTGTCCTGAGCTAGTGATAAGCAGCATGATGCTCTCTTGTGATATGGGGCAGCAGCAGTGAGTCCGCAGCTCCCAGACAGCCTCGCAATCATGCGAGTAAACGACCAATACCCTACAACCATTCTGTACTGATACGGCCATTCTATTTTTCACTTTCAGTACAGCGTTCAATAAATTACATAAGATATTCAACACCTTATTATAAAATTTGCTTTGTGTTAGATGATTTTGATGAACTGTAGGCTAATGTAAGTGTTCTGAGCACATTAAGGTAGGCTAAGCTAAGCTATGATGTTCGGTAGGTTAGGTGTATTAAATGCATTTTTGACTGAGTGATATTTTCAACTTATGATGGATTTATCAGGATGTAATTCATCATAAATTGAGGAAGATCTGTACTTTTTTCCACTCTGCCAGCACCTTAATCTGAGTCACTATTAGGTCCTATCGGAACTGTTGCTAGAGATTCCTTACTAGTATTTTTGTTTCCTATTTTGCAAAATCATAGTACTCCTCCACTTAAAACCCTTTGTGATCTTCCCATTGCACTTTTAATAAAATATAAACTTCTTAACCCCACCTCCAAAGCCCTGGATGACCTGGCCCATGCCTCCCCCCCCCCCATCTTGGGCCACTCTCTCCCTTGCCCACTATTCTGCTGTACTCACCTCCCTTCAGTTCCTTGAGCATACCTGTCTCCTTTGTGACTCAGGGCCTTTATGCATACACTTTGTCTTTTCCCTGCTTCTCACATGGATGACTCCTCATCTTTCAGGTCTTCGCTCAAATATTACCTCCTCAGAGAAGGCTTTCATCACCAACTTACTAGACAGGTCACCTCAATTGTGTGTCTATTACTACATGGGGTTTTATCATTCATAGCATTCATCAAAGTTTGTAGTTATATTTTTATCTATTTATGTGATTTTTTCTCTTTCTTCCCCAGTTGGCTAGGAGCTCAAGGGGACAAAGTCCAGCCGTATTTTATGCACCAGTTTATATCTGGTGCAGAAGGAAATACTGGGGCTTTTCAGACCTCTGTACCTTACTTGTGCACTCCTTCCTGCCTCCACTCAAGGCCATTGGTGACATCTGCAGCCTCCCCGATGTTTCCCTCTGCTGCTGAGGAGCAGGTCCTGGGGCAGCAGAGTTTCCCCACCACGGGAACCACGGCTGTTGGCATGCATGGAGAATCCATGAGCACCTCTGACACTTCCTCTGTGTGCCAAAGCTAAACTGGGTTCTTTGGAGCCCTCAACATCCAGAAGTCACTTAGAGTAGGAAAATGCTCATCTCCTCTTCTGTGTACATTCCGTTAGCTGGGCGCCAAAGCAACTCTCCTTGTGTCTAATGTCTTAGAACAGAGTTTTTCAAATTTGATTTCATGATCTCAGGAAAATACAGAGCCCCAGATGTTGCTACAATAATTTAGTTATTTTTTTTTCCAATTTTGTTGAGTATGGAAAAAATATATAATATAAGCATATTCTGGATCTTCTGTATGGCCACCTTGTGGTACAATACTACCACATCATTTCAATGAACACAACCTATTTGTATTTATAACCACATGAGTTGAAAGCATAATTACATTATGAAATAATGCACAAAGCTTTAGGCAATTGTTTGAAAAGAAAAAAATGGTGGGAAAATTGAGTCTTTACACGATATATGGCAATCTAAGCATGCCCCAGAGCAGTGTGTAAAAACTAGCATTGCCAACTGATGTTTTGTGTTGCTCTCTTCTTTGAATGTATCAAATAGCAACCATTGATTATGTCTATACATTTTTAAGTAGCATTATAATAAAAATAATTTGTTAGTTCTAGGTTCCCAAAAGAATCTTTTAACCTTTAAAAATAGTCAATACACTACTTAAACTATGAGAAACTTTATCACGGAGATTTTTGAGAAAACCGCTCTTTCTGTTTTCCTTTTTATTTAAAATTTTTGTTTTGTTTTGTTAACAACCCTATCTTTCTCTAAGACTCAGACAGAGACTCCTCAGGGTTAGGCTACTCAATAAACCTAAGTTCCTGCCATCACAATGTACTCAGAATCCTCCACTTGCCCTGCCCCCCGACAACTGAGGTAGTTTATTAGGCCACACAACTCTTCTTCAGGATGAATTCCCTTCCAGAAGGCTGTTTGTGTGAACAGTCAGTCTCCTAGCATCCACCCCTCCAGTCCTCGTGCATAATGTGCCTTATCACAACTTAGGCTCAACGTGGGATCTCTAGTATCTTGGCCTGAAGAATGAATAAATGAGTACAGAGGTGATTGAATGAAATAAAGAATTAATTCACCTGACAGTAGAAAGGCCATTGCTTGCTCACTCTATGATTTGGAGAAAAAATATTCTCTCTTTCCAGGTGATAGAAGACAGACTTAAGACAGAAAAGGATAAAGGGAAAGTGAAATCTCCCAAGGAGAAGAAGGCCCCAAGTGCCAAGGTTGCCAAAGGAAAGGGAAAGGATCAGCCTGAGTCAAACACAACAGTGAAAAAGACCACCCAGTTACAACAGAGGGGAGAGGAAGATGACACCAAACGTTACATTGGTCAGTAAGATGCTCCTCGTGTTGGTTACCTTTCACTTCTTGTCTTATGACCTACGAAATAACTTGAGAAATCATTCCAATAACTATGCTTAATCTTCCCCAGCCTTTTCAGTCTTTATAAAACTATAAATCACATAATACCCATGACACCTCAATAGAAAAACATTTCTATTTGTAATTCATTTATGTTTTCAACAAATATTTAGTTAGCATGTGTCTTGCTATAAGCACATTTACGTAGAGCAAATGAGGGATGAAATTATGAGCTGATTGTGCCACCAAGGAGCTTACTATCTTGGTGGGAACATTTTTAAAAGGCAGACGTAATTATAAGGCAAAGTAAAAAGTCATTATTGTCATGAGTGAAATACAGTGGTAATAAAATCAGACCACTAATTTGGGACTCATGCAGAGCACATAGCTTCCAGACCTCAACTTCTCCCACTACCAGTTTGTCTTAGATAGATCAACTAGAATTTTCTTTCATTTTAGATTATTGATACAAAAATGATTCAATTTAGGCAGCTATGAGTAATTCATTGCCTTCCCATGAACCCAAACAGAGCTACCTGCTATTGTTTGCATCATATTTAAATGAGATGGCAGGCCTTCACTTCCTTTACTAGTTTGATTCCCCTAATATATCTCTGCTGTATGCACTAGACTTAGGAGAAATGATATTACAGATTCCATGGAAAAATCAATATTGATTTGCTTAGTGATAGAATAAAAATCATTACTTGGAAATTAAAAGTTTGTGCATCTGTTGCATTATTTTTAAATTGATCTTAATGGACTATTACGGGATGTAAGTTTTCATGTACCATCTACTCTCAATAGTTGCTACATAAACCATACACAGCCTTCACAACTGTTGACATACAGGCACAGAATAGTTTGGTAGGGCGCATGTCCATATTCAATATTTCCCTCTCCTGTAAACACCTCTACTTATAAAATACCACAAAGCTGCAGCTACTCGTAATTCAGGAGTAAAGCCAGATGTTGCTCAAAACAGATTAGAACCAAAAAAAATTACAGCCTAAACTTTTTTTTAACAAAAGCCCTAGCACACATTTTCCATGACCACAGGCCCCGTGTATGTTTGTCCTCCTATTACGCCTATGTCTCATTTGCAAAAGTGATTTAATATTTTGTAAAAGGGCCACAGCCTTCTTACTGGAAGAGCAATAATGAAAACCAGTCAACTGACTGCATTCCAGCCAACTGGACTGTTTTTGGCAAGCTGGAGGGATTATAAAGGCACGCATAATGTATATAGCCATTGAACTGGCTGTGTGCAACCTGTTCTCTTTAAAAATGACGGCTGCTCTTCTTTATGGTATTTTGAACAGACGATGAGCCAGATGATGGTGTCCAGCATTACATTATAGTTGTGGGCTTCAACGATCCTCAGCTATTAGCGATTATGACTGAGCTTGGCATTCCCATAAGCAGCGTGATTAAAATATCTTCAGAGAATTATGAACCTCTGCAGACACACCTGGCAGCAGTTAGCCAGCAGCAGGAAGTTTTTCTTCAGCCAGAAGGTATGCAGTCTGCTACACAACTTACTGAATCCTTCAATATCACCCACTGTCCTTAAAGTGCAAATACAATTTTCCGTCCAAAACATAGTCCTACAATGCATACATTACTAAATCCTTTCAAGACTTTGATTTGCTAGTCTGCTTGCACTGGCCAGGTGTTCTAAATTTTGCAAATTAAAATAATACTCTCTGTTTATATCCCTGCGTGGCCACAGAGAAGATAGACTGTGGGTCAGAAGGCTTGGTTATCCAACTACATTTCTCAGGAACATTTGATCTATAGCTTTTACCTAAAGCATGGGCTGGATAGATCAACAGATAATCTGTTGTTCCAGAAGCTATAGTCACCAAATGGCCCAAGGAAGGTCATAGCCTTGGGTTCTTGTTCTGCTTTGCTACTGGCTTATTGTGATAAATCAGAAAGGGCATCTTATCTTCCAAGCCTTAGGCTAGGAAGTGGTGGGATGAAGTCCCAACCACACTACCATTAAGCCATTTGGAACCTCGAGGTCTTCATCGAAGGGAATTGTGCTAGACTACCTCTGTGGGAAGGGGACAAAAAGCATACAGTATAAAGTATAAAATATGCAGTATACCACTGTATTCTTTAGGAAGTAGAACTGGGATTTGGTCTAAGCCTGTGTGACCTAGGATCTCTTTCTGCCATGTGCTGTTGCTTTTATTGTTATTTATTAATAATATCATTTTCACAGTGTTTTGTAATCTACACAACCACATCCCAATTTCCCTAACACTACATTTTTAAAATTGCTGTTACAAGTTAGAAATCGCTACCACTGATAATAAAAATAGCTACCATTTATTGGGCACATGCCTTGGAACTAGGCTCAATGCTGAAGGCCTTAAATGCATTGAGTCACATAGTTTCCACAACCATTGGAAGTATGTTTTGTTATCTCCGTTTTACCAAAAAGGACTCTCATCCTCAAGGCAGCTATTAAGTAAAAGAGTTGAGATTCAAACCCAGCTACTCCTGACTATCTTAAAGGATAGTTATAACATTTAATAATTTATTATCAAGTCAGTGAGAAAATGCTGCATAAGCTCAAACAGCATAGCCTCTCTATAAAAAAAAACATTTAATATATAAAAATAAAAGCATAGAAAAATACACTTTATAATAGAATAATGAGATCTTAGTAGTAGAACCTATGTAATTATAGATGTAATGAATATAAATATTTCAGGCAAATATTCAAGTGTAACTTGATGGAAGTTAGAGCACAATGCCCAGAGAAGCCTGTGGCTGTTTTCATGTGACCAAAAGTTAACTGAAGCATAAATCGTTGATCCCATCTGTTTTTAGCCGTGTGGGAAGGAGACCTGGATCAACTGCATTTCTAACCAGTCATGAAGCAAACAGACACTAAGATGGTCAAAAAGTGATTTGGCAGACAAATTGCTCCAAATGCAATCTGAGTGATGGAAATATTGAATATATATACAAATGTGTGACCTTATCATAATCTTTCTGGTCCTCAACTATAAAATGAAAGAGTAGGATAAGCTCGTATTTAATATCAATTTCAGAAGTAAAATCCTCTGATTTCATAATTGTATAGTCTAGGTCCTAAAACTTCTCAAAATTGTGTTTCTTTATTTGCATTTTCTGGTACTGCACAGACATCTTGCAATGCATATGTCTCACCACGTATACTTAAAGTAGAAAGAAATTCAACACTCTCATTTTGTAGTATAAACATATTGCTGTTATTAGATATAGAAGCTGAAAAATTGAAGCAAGAGAATGCCATAAAAGAACTTGAAATTTTCTGGAAGTACTTGGAACCAATCCTGAATAATGAGAAACCTGAAACAAATCTCTTTGATGTTGCTCGACTTGAATACATGGTCAAGGCAGATGACTTTCCGTCCGACTGGTCAGACAATGAGATGATGGTTAGTATATGCATTAGTGAGAATTAGTATAAGTATTAGTGAGAGCGAGTGGTTTGAACACGTGACACTGTGGTTCCATTTACCCCATTCATTCATTCCACAGATATTTATTGATCATGGACTATAGACAAGGCATTGTGCCAAGCTCTTTATCTTCAAGACAATAATAACATTGAATGCCCAATGATGGTTATAACCTAATTCTTTAGCTTTTAGTGTGTGAATTAATGACAAAGAATAAGATGTAGATAAAGATAAACAATGATAATTCTTTTATTCGGTGACATATGGCTTTGTTTCATACCTCAGTAATGTTCTAGGCAGTAGAGTCTTAAGATATAATATATTAATTGTGGAAATAGTAAATTTTATAGTTTATTGAATTATGTTGTCTTTTTTAAATATATATATCAGTTAAAAACATTATTTTTCCAGGCCCGTACTTTTATTGCCCAAATCATATTTTTAATATATTTGGCCAACAAGGTCTATGCTAACAGGTTGACTAGACCTCAGCCCCACAATTGGCAGACATTCCTGAGAGCATTTATTGGAGCTTGCAGAGAGGCAAGAGCAAAAGAGCAAAGCCTTGAAACAGAGAAGCAGTGTCCAAGGGGCCATACATCTAGGTGCTCAGTTGTGTGAAACACAGTCTAAGTCTCCTATTAATTCAGAAAAAGAAGAAATGGGGTGCTTTGAAAAGTATCAAATGCTAAATACACAAGGATGTATTAAAAAAGAGGTTGAGTGACTACTTACCACCCTATGTGTTAGGGAAGATATCCAGGCGTCCCTGTTACAAAAAATCTCTCAGGTCTCTTTCTGGTTGACCCCTGTCCCAAGAAACAGGGCCTCCGGAGTGTTGATCCCCACAAGGCCACGTATTTCCGCATCAAGGGAGCTGAACTGAAAGTAGAGTACTGGGGAGGGACCGCTTAAAGTGAGTGCTCTGAAGGAAGCCTGGCAAAGCAGGGTGGAGGAAGAGGATAGGTGTCTGTGGATAGTGACTACGGGTAGCTGCCCCCAAAATAAGCTGACTGTCTAAGAGGAGAGTAAGATCAAAGCCTGGAACAGGCTTTCTGAGCCAAAATGCAGGCTGCCCATGGCCGTGGGATGGAGCATGGACATTTCTCACTATGCGAGTCCCTGATTCTATTACTTTGAGATGGATGTGCACTTCGTGAAGTAAACTGAAAAGGGAGGCCCAGATTTGAACCTTGAAGGATGGGCACGATTTGAATAAGTAACAATAGATAGATCAGTCTGAGTTATAAAGACTATAAACATAAGGCATTAGATGTCACTATGTAGAAACAGAAAGTTAAGTCTGATACTTTGCCAATGGTAAGAATAAATATCAGTCTTGTCCTATAAATGGAAAACAAAGCTGAACACAGAAAAGCTGTAGCTGAATGCAGAGCTTGTTCTAGGCAAAACTGGCTACTCCAGACTCCTTTTGCTTTGCCTCTTCCCGCCACTTTGTCCAGATAGCTTTATCTTGCCTGCTTAGTCTTTCACTCTCCTGCATCCTAAACCTGAGCTCAGAAAAGAATCCACTGCCCTCTGTCCTTTACTGCTTCATGTTAGATTGGGTCAATGTGTTTCCCTATCCCAGAGATATTGGCATTCCAAGTAATATAGTACAGTCATGTGTTGCTTAACGACAGGGATAGTTTCTGAGAAATGCGTCCTTAGGAGATTTCATCATTGTGTGAACGTCATAGAGCGTACTTACACAAACCTAGATGGTATAGCCTACTACACACCTAGGCTATATGGTACTAATCTTATGGGACCACTGTTGTACATGTGACCCATCACTGACCAAAACATAGTTGTGCAGCACGTAACTGTACTATGAATATTTTATATTGTTTTATTGGAATTCTAGATTATACTCAAAAAATACGAGATATGTATTGGGAAGAGGCTATTTCCCTGGGATCCTGAAATCCCACCTCAAAGCCAGCTTTCTACTCTTTCTCTCCAAGAGATGAGCTCTTTCCCCAAGAACATAAAATCTATGCCACATCCACAAATATATTTTTTGGAGAAACAGTCCTCCTCTCATTTGGGCCAAGTTCTGGCTGCACACCCTGTCAAGAACTTGTATACATTTTTGGTTCAATAGGGCACAGGAGATTCCAGCCATATAATTCCTGAACGATAACTCAGAGGAGGCAATAAAAGAGTTTTCTAAGGCAGATTCAAACCAAGTACCTTTTTCTTCTGCTCTGTGTGTCTTACTTACTCCCCAGGCATAGGCTGAGAAGAACTGAAATGTATTAAGCCCAAGGTAGAGTACATTCCACTGCATCATCAGTACACAGATGTGTACAGCAAGGCACACAATCAGAGCTTCACATAACCCAACACCATTCCCAGCATCCTGTTTCCTACTCTAGTGTCCACGATTTTCTGTTCATTAGAAGATTTTAATCACTCCATTTTTAAAGCAAGTGAATGTGGCTATATTTTACTTTTGAAAAACATACAGTGGAAGAATTTAAATGGCAATTACAGGTCAGAAAATTTATTTTATATTGAAAAATATTATCAGCTTGGTTGAAATGCTAATTATGGTAGAATATTCTTGACTTCAGAACTAGAAAATTAATGTCTAGGGTGTCTAGTTGGGCCATGAAGGTAACTGTCAGGAATGAAAACATTCAGCTGTCTACAGAGCCATTTAGGGCTGTGCTGCCCAGCTGGACACACTGATCACCTATCAATCAATTTGCAAGTATTTATTGAACATCTTCATGCCAGGGCTGTGGTCTGGGTCCAACTGAAATAGTGTTTTAGAGTCCAAGCACGCCTCTATAAGATATGGTTTGTGAGTGAATGACCCAGCAAGGAAGATGATGAGAAAAGAGAGCCTTAAAAACAGTTCAGTAATAGAGCTGGGTTCCAGAAGAAAAGGCCATTGGATTTAATATTGAAGATCAGGGTCCATTTTAAACTTAGGATCACTTTATAAACATAGAGGTAATACATCTACTTCTAGTAGAAGTAGACCAAATACATGGTTCAGATACATGATGTCACACTCTCAGCTCTATCTGTAAGTTGATAATGGCCTATGCATATGATTCAAGGCAGGAGCCAGCCAGGGAGTCTTCTTCTCTGGAAGAAGGAAAGCGTTAGTACCTTTGGCTGCAAACAAGCAGACTGTATTTCTGCTGCACCAAGGTAACGAAAGCTTTACATCAAATAAATGCCCATCAAGAAGTGCTAACTGCTCATGTAAGACATCTGCAACATCTCAAGTTAAGACCTTGGCTGCTGAAAAAATTTTCTGGCTTTTAGCATGTGATTTGCTGTTTGATTTAAAAACAAATTAGCTAGTTAAGCTAAGGGATCACTGGGCAGAAGTTTTACTGTATTTCTTATAAATACAAACAAAAAAAATAAAAACATGTTTCTATGCCAGAATTTGGGCAAAGAACACCAGGTTGAAGCTTAACCGAAGGATGTTCAGCCTTTGAGTGGGCACATGAAGCCCAGACTGACAGCCATGCTGTGAAGATGGGCAGAGCTAGGCACTTCCCTGAACTCCTGCCAGGCTGTGATTCACTGGCCCACCCAAGAAGCTGTCTCGCTCTACCTTATCTCTTCAACTCATACATACGCTGAGCCTATTTAATCTTTCTTTCCTTGCAAGCAGACAGACCCAGCGATAACAGTGCTTTTCCACTTCTGGAAGTGAAAGCCCAGGTCATAGAGGCATCTGATCTGTACCTTGCTTGCCAGCTCATAAAACTTGTGGGTGTTACAGAAGCAGTAGTCTATCAGGATTTCTTAGGGTTTTTTCCCTAAAGGTAGCGCAGGTGAAAGGAGAGAAGAGAGACAAGGAGGAAAGGAGGAAATGTGATTGCACATGTACTGCAGCATACTTGGGTGGATGAGGAACAAAACTGAGCAGGTGATTTCCATCGTGCTTCTTGCACAGCCAAGTAAGAAATATCCATGGCTTGCCTTGGGCTGAAGACATCGAAATTACCTACCTGATGTGTGTTGTTTAGAAATCAGGACATCAGAATATAGACCATACTGCTAAAACTAATGAATAGAGTGTTTTTCACTTACTTGAAGTATTTTTAGACTCTTATAATATTGGGCTCCTCCAAGGGAACAGTCTGCATTGTGGTGAATAAGAAAGGCAAGAAGTGTTCGGTCACCATGGCTGGGATTCAGTGGCTGGGAGAAATGCTTCCTTGTAAAAAGTGAAAGGTTTAGCTGTTAAGAGAGATACAACCATATATCCGATTCGAACAATATGAAACTAATAATTAATTGTCATTAATTCTCTCACCTGTAGCTGGTATTGGGCACTGATATTTTTGAAAATATTGCCTGTTTGATGTACGACAGCCTGGACTGGAAAAGGCAGCACCAACACTATTTGGAAAATATGCAGCTCATTAATGTCCCACAAGTGGTTAATGAGAAACCTGTCTTAGAAGCTGTAGCCATTGCTGAGGTAGGCACATGCTGAATGTATTTAATGGGCTGAATGATTAACTGAACAACTTAATTTTCCCATTTATAAAACATATGAAGAAAAAATGACATAACTTCTTGTAGCAAGCTAATGCTTCCTGCTGGGACTTAATAGGTGAGGGTAGGAACAAGGAAAGGCCCCCAGGCACAGCATTAAAGGGCACCTATGTGGTGGAGGCTTTATGAAGCTCCCCAACCACCTGCCACGTGCAGAGATGAAAACAGAACCCACTTTTCAGCCCATGTTCCAATAAATAACATCTGGAACAAGGAAGGATATTGATAAATTAATCACCATGTTTATTTAGCATCTACCATGTGCCGGCACTGTGCAAGGTGCTGGCAATACAGTAATGAACAAGGCTCATCCCCTGTCCTCCTCATTGAAATGAACTTTTAAAGGGAACAGCAGTCAAGTCAACAGCAGTTTCAACATAGCATGGTGAGTGCTGGGAGAACAGTCAGCTCAGACTGCAGCAGAGGCAGTAAAACATGGCGCCTAACCTGATCTGGAGAGGATCAGGAGGGTAAGTGGTGTGGGGAAAGCTAAGTGTGAATTGCCTAGAGGAAAGCCTGGTAGGGGAAAGGGACACAAGGGTGTTCTCAAGAAAGGGGCAAAGACGTACAAAGATACAAGGTCAAAGAAAAGGATTATTACAGCACAAGCCAGGACCCACGGGGTAGGTCCGTGCTCCCAAGCGGTGCATGCAAAGTGGAGAACAGCAACATGAACTAGAGCTGGAGAGGCGGGAGCCAGAATGTCTTTTGGTGCTGAGTTAAAGAGTTTGGCTTTTGTCTGGAAGGCGATGTGGAACCATTGAAGAATTCTAAGAGGGACAATGGCATGGTTCTGACTCACTCAGGGAAGAAAAACTTTTTGACTCTCAGCAGCTCATCTCCCCATCCCTTTCCTGGCAATTGCTCAGTGGGCTCTGTTAGGAAAAACTAAAAAGTGTCCGTACCCATTAACTTCTTTCCTTCCTTAGACAAACCGTTTTATTTGATCCTAATTTTAGCAAATCGTTCTGTGATGTGAACATAATCATACAATCTCAGAATCTCGTCAGATCCCTTCATACCAACATTTGATGAAAGCATCTCTCTGCTGAATATCTCAGTTGTTCCTTTTTAATTATTCTTCTTTTAGGCTCCACAAGCTGTTGCTCCAACCTCTGGAAAGAAGAAAGCACATAATGAAGAACCGCAAGCCCCACCATCAGGCATGTATGAAATGTGTCTCTGCAGGATCAACACCAGGAGCTGTCTTCGATAATGCTTTCAGATATCCCTCCACCTACAGATCCTACGTTTATTAGTGCACGGTCATAGTTTGAATTTATGGATGAAATTTTGATGGAAGAAATGGAGAACACATCTTAACTGAGCAATGATATCTTGTATATTTTACAGTGACTTGCGTCATCACAACTGAGGTAGACATGAGATACTACAATGATTTGCTGAATCCGATTCCAGAAGAATTCATTTCTGTGCCCCTGATACTGCATTGTATGCTGGAACAGGTAGGTGGATATACTCTGAGTCATTTTTCCCAGACAGGTAACCTTGAGTCAGTCACTTCGTCTCTCTGCTTCCATTTTTTTAGACTATTTTAAAATTAGACACATCATACCTGAATGCATTCTCCTTTACAAAGTTTAGAACATTTTAGATGAAACTAAAGTTTGCTTTGATCATCAGCTTCAATCCCCTTTCTTTGCTATGTTCTAGAACAGTTTATATAACATTACCTGAAGTTGTGGTAGACGTCCTTAAAACTTTCTGTGTCTTATGTTGTTTTACTTGAAGACAAAGAGGAGTGGGACAGGAGGGTGGGGTGGTTAATGGTCTTTAACTAACTTTAAAATTTCTTTTGTACCAGTGGATTTAATCAGATTTTTCTATTTCTGAGGCCAATTTTAGTCATTAGTTTTTTTATAAATATGTCCACTTTCTTTGCATTTTCAATATCATATAAAGTTCTTTATTCATTTATATGTATGTTTAAAATTACTTCTGTATCTATGTTCCTTTTTCTATGACTGACGTTATTTATTTGTGCCGTCTCTTTTCTTGATCATGGGTGTTAATGGTATATCTATTGTATTGGTCTTTTCAAAGAACCAGCATTTCGTTTCATTGATAATTCCTTTTTACTTTTTGTTTTATTAATTTCTTCATTTATCTTTATTATTTCCTTCTTTCTACTTTCTTTGGATTTATTTTGTATTTCATTTTAATTGAAAGCTTACTTAATTTATTTTCAGTCTTTTTTGCTTTACTTAAGGCTATAAATTTCCTTTTGAGTATTTCTTTGGCTGCGTCCTGATGCTTTCAATGTATTCAGTTCTAAATCTTTTATTTTAATTTCCACTCTTTATTGTCAATTTCTAATTTTATTGCATTATGGTCAGTAAACATGGTCTGCATTTCAAAAATGTTTTTCAATTTCCTAGGCTTCCTGTGTGACCTGGTGTATATGGTCAATTCTTGTGAGTGTTTTGTATGTATTTGAAAAGAGTTTGTTATTAATTAACTCATTTAATCCTTAGAACAACCCTATGAAGCAGGATTCTTTTTTTCCCCCAAAGCCCCAGCAGATAGTTGTATGTCATAGCTGCACATCCTTCTAGTTGCTGTATGTGGGACGTGGCCTCAGCATGACCGGAGAAGCGATGCATCGGTGCGCACCCGGGATCCGAACCTGGGCCCCGAACCCGGGCCGCCAGCAGCGGAGCACGTGCACTCAACTGCTAAGCCACAGGGCCGGCCCCAGCAGGAATTATTTTTATTCCCCATTTTATAGATAAGAAAACTGAAACATAAAAATGTTAAGTAACTTGTCCAAGTAGTAAGTGGCAGAAAACACTTTTGAACCTAGTCGATCTGAGTGGAAAAGTATTTTGATGGCTTTGTTCCATTGTCGTCTTCTTTCTAATGTTGCTAATGAAAAGTCTGATGTCAATCTGATACTTTTTTCTTTGTAGGTAATCTGTTTTTCCTTTCTGGCAGCTATTAGAGTTTTCTCTTTATAATTGGTAACACAATGCTATGTCTAGGTATGGCTTTATTTGTTTTATCATTGTCATTAATGGTCTCATGATTATCATCTGGTTTCTGATCATATTCTGAGTAAACCCAAAATTCCTTATACTGGTCCATAAAGACCCTAAAAATACGGTTCTGGGCTGTATCTGTCATCTCATCTCCTGCCCCCCACCTGACACACACCAAACACACACACGCATGCTTATTAGTCATCATCTACATAGGCCGTCTGGTTTTTCCTCAAATACACTACTTAATTCTACCTTAGCTTTTTTTTTTTTTTCTTTTTTTTAGGAAGACTAGCCCTGAACTAGCATCTGTTGCCAATCCTCCTCTTTTTTGCTGAGGAAGATTGTCCCTGTGCTAACATCTGTGCCCATCTTCCTCTACTTTATATGGGACACTGCCACAGCAAGGCTTGACAAGCAGTGCATAAGTCCGTGCCTGGGATCCGAACCTGTGAACCCCGAGCTGCTGAAATGGAGCACATGAACTCAACTGCTGTGCCACTGGGCCTGCCCCACTACCTTAGCTTTTAACTACAACTTCTCTTTCTAGAAAGTTTTGCTCTCACATGTCTGCCTGGTGGATACTCCTTGTCATCCAGTCCCCAGTGGAAGTGGCATTCCTTTGATAGGCTTTCTCTGACCACCTGATCTAAAGAAGGCACATAACAACAGAGTGCTCTCTACTGCATCACCTTGTTTTATTTTCTTAACAACAACTGGTATTTTTAAAATATATTTATTTAGTTTGTGTCTCACCTTCCTTCTTTCCCCAGAATGTAAGCCTCGGGCAAGCAGGGACTTAATCTAGTCAGGTTCATTGCTGTGTGGTCAGCACACAATAACCACACCTAACCCGCAGTAGACACTCAATATGCATTTGTTGAGTTAAAGTATGTCTTCAGATATTATTTCTTCTATGGATTTACCCTAATTTTCATTAGATGGATGTTGGAATTTCTGATTTTCCTCCTTGTCTTTTAAATTTTCTTTCCATTTTATGCATTTGAGAATTCCAGCTTCACTTCCAACTAATTCATTCTGCGGTGGAGTCCAGTCTGCTGCTGAAGTTTTGTTTCAACAATAACGTTTTTAATTTATAAATTCTCTAATTTGTTTTTATAACTATTATGGTTCTTATCTCCTCTATGTAACACATTACTTTTTCTTTCAGAATATTAAGTTTTTTACTTTAAAGTCCTTTTCAGACTCTATCATCTCTGTTACCTCCAGTATACATTTTTATGTTTTCTACCCAATTAGGTAAGCATGCTTATATTTGCCTTTAATTACCCCATAAGCGTTTTGGAAGACCAATAGTTTCATTATGTTGATAAATTTGTAAAAGCTTAACAGCTCTATAGAGCTTGCAGTATCATCATTTTATTTATCTTAGTCTTTCTTATTTTATTCAACTCAACTTGAAGCAACAAACATTTATTAACCATCTACTATAGTCCAGACACCAAAGGGGACAGTTGATGAGCTCAGTGCCTGACATATAGAGCACCCAATAATAGATACATGTTGGTTGAATGAATGCTTAATAATAAGGGGATTAAAAAATTGAAATATAAGAGGAATAGGATGGGACTTTACAGGGTGGGATGTTAGAGTTTAACATTTCAGAGATGAGGCAGATTTTGAGAAACCCTGTAGAGGGATGTGAAATAACAGAGGATGATTATGAGATTTAAGGTGAAGAGAAAAACTGTAAATTAGGTGCTGTCTTGATTATATTTCAACTTCTTTTGTTTACCATGTAAAATTGAGCAAGGCATTTAATCTTTATAGACCTCATTTTCCCCATAGAAAGAGACTATTACCTTTTACTGATCTCACCATCTATAGCTGTTCTATCTCAAAGAAAGAATGAGGACTTGACCTGAACCCCTGTTCTTCCCAGTCAGTAGCCTACAGCTTGAGCCAGTCACCTAACTTCATTCACCCTAGTTTCTTCCTCTGTAAAATAGAAAATAGTACCTACTCCACAATATTGCTGTGAGGCTTAAATGAGATAATATCCATGAAGATGCCCATACACAGTGCATGGCATGTGGTAGGCACTCAATACATATTTATTATATCCAAGGTGAGCACAGTTTCGAGTGCTTTAAGAGAAAGAGTAGGGCTGGCCCCGTGGCTTGGTGGTTGAGTGCGTGTGCTCCGCTGCTGGCAGCCCAGGTTCGGATTCCGGGCGCGCACCAACGTATCGCTTCTCCAGCCATGCTGAGGTCGAGTCCCATGTACAGCAGCTAGAAGGATGTGCATACATCCTTGTATGCACATTGTGCATACAGTTGTTGTGCATACATACAACTATCTACTGGGGCTTTGGGGGAAAAAAATTTTTAAAAAAAAAAGCACTTATAAAAGAGAAAGAGTAAATCATTAAGAAAAAGTTATATTGTACTGTTATTTTTATTTCTACCATAGTAAATTTTCTTATTTACTATCTGTATTTTGTGTTATCTATTCTAATACATGTATCAAAATTATATCTACTTTAATGCATGGATTGCAAACATTTTCCTTTTATTTTGGTAATCACTGGTAATCACACTGCCACTTTGTGCCATCACTATACTGTATTGGTGGAAACTGCCTTGTTTTCACTAAAAGCAGTGGAAATATGTGAATATCAGTAAAAAGCTGACCATTAAACCGACCCTCCCAACTCTTTGTGTCAACAGGTTGTGGCAACTGAAGAAGACCTTGTCCCACCCAGTCTGGTGGAGCCACCTCCCAGAGCAGATGGATTGGACCACAGAATCGCAGCTCACCTTGTGTCCATCCTGCCCTCTCTCTGCCTCACGGAGAAGGAGAAAAAGGTCAGATGGCATGAGATATCCAAAGAGTATGCATGCTTGGAAAAAGTATGAGTTCTCTCTTTAAATCAATATTATTTCAATTTAAATAGAATCTCCATGAAATATTTTTATCTGAAGAAGAAAACAAAAACAAAGCAGTGCCCAAAGGCCCTCTCCTACTGAACTATCATGATGCACATGCCCACAAGAAGTATGCACTAAAGGTAATAGTAACTGGGTTACTCAGAGTATAACTGATGCAAGAAAGCCCATTTGTAATTATTCAGTTGAAGAAATCTTAATTAGATAGCTTTACCAATGCTAATGCAAAGTAATGTACAAAATGGATACCTGCTTGCAAAGTGAGATCTCAGAAAATGGAGATGGATAAGAGAGAAATTACGTCAGCAAAGAACACTTGCCTAATTATGAGGTCCAGTTAACAAAGTGATTGTGACTACACCAAATTTACATTAAAACCTTATAGTTATTTGCTTTAAATATCTGCTAATATTAAAAACTAGTGGAGGCCAGAAAAGAATCTCAGAAGAGAGAGATGAATATATATGAGACTTTGGCAGTTTGTCACCGTGAATGAAGAATTTGTCATTTCTGTGCACCAGGACCTCTGGCATAGTGAGAACTAGCTTTTTTTGACCTTCAGCAAAATACCAACAGTTTGTCTTCCCCAATTACCTTTGATTTCCCCTGTTCCCAAATAATGAAAGCAAAGGTATCATGTTTTGCCTTCTCCATATGCATAAGGCCCTTGACAGCTTACTTTAATGTCTTCTGTCATGTTGCTCTTTTTCATCAGGACCAAAAGAATTTTGACCCAGTTCAAATTGAGCAGGAGATGCAGTCCAAGTTGCCACTGTGGGAATTCCTTGAATTCCCTCTGCCCCCACCATGGAACAGCACTAAACGTCTAGCTACAATTCATGAGCTCATGCACTTTTGTACAAATGGTGAGTACATTGCTTTGTCTTAGCTTAAACTCATTCATTTATGGTCACATGTGCCTCTTAAGATCACACCCCTATTTGCAAAAAGTATTTTGGTTATTGAAAGACCTTTCAGAGGGTGAAGTGGGTATTTTGATTGCCTACTATTTTCTTATCTTGAAAAATAATGTCATCAGCAATAGTGTGATAGCTATGATGCATAACCTTCTTCAATTGATGCCCTGGGTTTTCTTTCCACTGTGTTTCCACAACAAGAATAATCCCTTTCTTCCCTCCTTCTCCTCACTCAACCTTCCCTCGTTGACATCATTGGAGATGATGTGGTAATCCCTATCCTAGTTAAGAGGATAGATTAGAGCGCCCCCTGTCAGTGTTGTGCTGAGAGTGTGTTGATTCAAGTTAACTTCCTCTCATAACAATGGCCATTTTATGTTCGCTGAAGACAGTGGGAAGAGGGGTCATTAAGAGTATCTAAAATCAGCTTCTCATTGCAGAGTTCACTGGGATGGTATGATATAGACAATAATTTCCTAAAACAAATCCTATGTCCACTTCGGACAATACACACATACCTTCCTACTTATAAGAAGGAATATGAAATTACACAGACAACTTTATTTGACAAGAAAGCATTTGACCTAGAAAAGAGAAAAACAGGTGCAGATTGTTCCTTCTCATTTCATTGCTAACTCTAAGCAAATTAGGAAATATTTTTATCTTGATTTTTTTTTTCATTTTAAGTAGGCTTAGTATTAGAAAAAGCCAAAATTTTAATACTGTCATGCCATCACCACGTGGAAATGCAGGGTACAGCCTACTGGGCCTGGGTATGTCACATCTGTTGTTTACATAACTACCCTCCTCCCGATGTTCCTGAGAACATCTGTCCTTTGCCTATATCCTGCCACTCTTGACTTCTCCTTCTGCCTTCTGATGTGGTTCCATTCTCTCTCCACCTCAGTTCGATATACAGCACAGGATTCTTGTTTCTGTTGCCACCACTGAAGCTTCCCACATATTCCTCTTACGTGGCCCTCCCAAATCCTTGCTCCCCCTAGCTCTCCTTCCTCTTTTCTCCCTCGGTACCTCATACTTAACAGGTCCAAAACCAGACTCTTGATTTTCCCGAAATTTGTCCATTCACCATCCTCCTTATTTCAGTAAATGGCAACTATTTTCTACCAAAACCTTGGAGTCATTGCTGATTCCTATTCTTTTTCTTACTGCACCACGACCAATCCCACCACATCCCTCACTACCATCCCAGCCCAGTCCACCATCACTTCTCACTCGGCCTATTTCAGTAGCTTTCAATTGGTCTACAGGCTCTCACCTTTTCACCTATAGACTTTTCATTGCACAATAATTGGAATGGCCCTTCTAGAATATTAGTCAAATCACGTGCCTTCTCAGTTCAAAATCCTCTAGTAGTCACCCATTTCACTCAGAGTAAAATCTAAACTGTTCTTCCACCCACTTTTTGAGCTCATCACCTATCAAGCTTTCATTGTTTCAGTCCATTCTATCTTCATTGACCTCACTGTGATTCCTTAAACGTGTCAATCATACCCCTGCCTCAGGATCTTTGCGCTTGCTATTTCCCCTGCCTTGATCACTTTTCTCCCAGATCTCCATATGGCTTGCTCTCCCAGTTCTTTCACGTTTTTGCTTAATTGTTCAGAGGGTTTTTCTCTGGCTACCTTATATAAAATAGAAGCCCCTCCTCAACCATTATTACTTTTTATCCCCTCTCCTAGCTTTATTCTTCTTATCATCTCTGATATAGTGTACACTTATCTGTTTACTCTCTGTTTCCAATCAATAGAGTGGATACTCCATAAGATCAAGAGTTCACTGCATTGTTCACTGGTGTGGTCCCAGCTTTTATTATAGTCACCAACAACTAGTAGGTGCTCAAAAAATATTTGTGAAATAAATGAATGAGCAAACTTTCCTTAATTCTGTAATTTTTACCTCTTCGCTCTCTCTCTTCTGAATTTCCCTATGTTTTTTCCAAATCAAACCCTCCTGCTGCCCTCATCTCTGGTGGAGAGAAAGTAGAGATGACCTCTGAATCATTGATCTACCACAATCATTTCATTTTTCCTCATTGAATTCCATGATTATTTGTTAACGCCTACCGCCCACTCCTCTACCTTGAACTTCTAAAGTGCAAGTACCAAATCTTTTCTTTGAATTTCAGGCACCTATTATAAGGCCTAATATATGGAAAACAAAAACGAGTGAGTGAGCGAGTGAGTGAGTCAGTGAACAGATGAATAAATGCTATAAAAGAATAAATATACAAATGAATAGAGTCCATTGAAGGCTGATAACCTTTGAAGTGAAATTATGGAAAGTACAGCAGCAGTTCATTGGTAGAAAGAGGCCTTTTCTGAGCCTGAATGAATAGGAAAGCTTACTGAATATAACAGCCTATGTTAGACACAACTGAATAATTTTTCTGTTTTAAATTACAATAGCAGCAAAAGGTGCTTTTGCTTAATAATAAGTTCTAAACATACTCAACCAATATGATACCCTGGAAAGTCCATGTGAATTAATTTGGACGCCTAATATTGATTAAGCTATGAAGCAGTTTGAGAGCGTTATCTTGATAAATTATATCTTGATTGTTCAGGTTTCTTATTATTAGGTACCTTTGATACTTGTTGCAGAATTGTGGAGTGCATGTTAAAGTCAGGTGAACACCCATCGTGGCATGACTCCCTTGTCATTCCGCTGGACAGACCCCTGGTTCCCCACTGTCTGACCTATAATGTGGTAGTAAGACCATTCCTATCAGCACTGGTCCTGCTTTCTTACAGAAGTCTTGAGCTGGAATGAAGTAGAACGAGCCTTCAAAGTGTTTACGTTTGAGAGCCTGAAACTCTCTGAGGTTGATGAACAAGGGAAACTAAAGCCTTCTAGGATGATGTACGGGACAGATTCTGAGATGTTCAACATACCGTGGGACAACCCTGCCAGATTTGCTAAACAGATAAGGCAACAACACATCACGAAAATGAATATGAATACCCAAGAGGTCAAACAAGAAACAGGTACACCGCATGGAGGGAGCAAAAGGCGTTCTTGCATCTTCTGATTCTTTATTTTTCTAGTATTGTATCTCATGGATCCTCTTTACACTGACTAGATATTGAAACCAAAGACAGAATTTTATTTGTGGATCAGAATTTGCCACTGTCTGTGCAAGATGATGAGAGCAATAAAGAACCTTCAGATCCAAGTCAGGCTGATGCTAACAATATGAGGAATTCTGACTCGAATAATAAAAAACTCCTAAACCCTGATGATAGCAAGTTGTCAGAGCAGGAGACCAGCTTGAAGACTCTGTTCGAATCTGAGCCTTTGGGTAAGAAAATGTGTGTGTGCGTGTGTGTGTATAGACGCTATTATAGGATGTATAAAACAAAAAAATGATTCAAGAATTTGCCAAATTCAAATTTAAATAAGGCATTATTTAAATTTAAATGCCTCACTATTTCGATGGAAAAATTGTCTCATATCTAAATTATTTGGTTAATTAAACTTTGTTACTGAATTTTGGTATTCAGTAAGTTCTGCTTATTTCAACCCTTGTTATCCTAAGGCCTCTTAGTCCATTCTTACCCTAGTAAATGTAGTACAGTGAATGTAATTAAAACTTGCATCATTAGTATTTCACAAAGTTATTGTGATTAATGCAAAAGTTATGAAAAATGACCTGCAATAACATAATGAGCTTCCCATACAGAGCTTTAGTACAAAATCAATGCTAAATGAACATCAATTCCCTTCCTCTCCTCCTTGTAGCACAGATAATTACTCTCATTCTAGAATACAGCATCATAAATATTGTTATATTAGGAGGTATAGAAGCATAGAAGAATATTAGGCTAAATTTTTATGGCACTATCCTACACACAGCTGTCAGATTAATTACTTAAAATACAACTCTGTTATTTCCCTGCTTATCCCCTTCAATGGCTCCCTACCACCTGCAAAATCAAACCTGACTCCTTGGCCTACTTTACATGCTTCTCCAGTGGTACCAAATTACTTTTCCAAAACCCTTTCCACTTTTCCCTTTTGTCTACTCATCCCATGCTCTAGCCAAACAGAATTAGGCCCTATTTCCTCTACACAGCCTGCTCTTTTCAATCTCTGTGCCTTTCCTCCACAATACCCTCCACCTGGAGATCTCTTTTTGATTATGATTAGGTTTCAGTGGCACCTCCATGAGCTTTGTTAGATATCGCCATCTGAAAATGCCTCCCTTAGTGTTCCCATGGTGATAATTAACCTACACTTCTTTTATGGCATTAGTTATCATTTCCTACTACTTATTACAATTATTTCTATGCCTGTTTTAAAGCTTCCGTAATACTATAGCTTCTTAGACGTCATAAGTATGTTTATTTTAAAAATATTAACCATATACTGGACCATAAAACAAGTCTCAACAAATTTTCACAGGACCAAAACTACAGAGTATGTTCTCATACCACAGTGAAATTACGGTAGATATCAATTACAAAAAGATAATGAGAAAACCCCAAATTTTCAAAACTAAGAAATACACTTCTATATAACAGCTAGGTCAAAGAAGAGGCACAATAGAAATTAGAAAATATTTCAGACTGAATATAAATGAAAATACAAAATATCAAAATTTGTATTTAAAGCAAGAGATATTCAGAAGTTTACAGCTTTAAATGAATACATTTTTTAAAAGAAAACTAAAAATTAATTAGCTAAACATCAACCTCAAGTAGTTAGATAAAGATGAATGAATAAATCCAAATAAATTAAGAGGAAGAAAATAAAAATAAGAGTAAATCAACAACATAGAAAATATAGCTGCAATAAGGCAGAACAAATAATACAAAAGTTTGGTTCTTTGAAAAGACTTTTAAAATTGATAAATATTTTATAAAAGGCTGATCACAGAAAAGAGAAGCATGAATAACTGTATTAGGAATAAAACCATATCAGGAATAAAAATCATCAGGAATAAAGAAACAGACTTCCCTCCAATCCTGCAGATATTTAAAAAACAGTAACAGGATATAAACAACTTATTCCACCAGATCTAAAAATGAAATGAGAATATTACTGGAAAAGTATAACTTACTAACAATGACTCAAGAGAAATAGAAAACCTGAATAGTCCTGTAACCATTTAAATAAATTAAATCAGTAATTTAAAAATCTTATCAAATAGGACATGCCAAACCCAAATGATCTCATTGACTGGTGATAACAAACACTCGAAAAAGAAATAATTCTAATCTTAACAAAAATTATTCCAGGAAATGAAAAAAGGTGTACCCTCCCCTATGCATTTTATGAAGGAAAGTATAACAAAAGAAAATTATACATCAAACTCTTTCATGAACATAGATGAAAAATTCTGAATAAAACATAAGCAAACTGATCTAGCAATATACAAACTGATAATATACATGACAAAAAGTTGTTCTTGTAACAGGAATAGAAGAAAAAACATATTGTAAAAATCAATATAATTTATCAATTAACACATTAATGAGAAAAATATGATACAATTGTCTCAATAGATGCAGAAAAAGCATCTATAAATCTATAAATCTATAGCAATTTTTGAAAAAAAAAGTCTTAGCAAACTAGCAATAGAAGGAAAATCCCTCTACCTTAAAAGGTTATATTTTAAATTGCTACTACAACAAACATTATATATCAAGATGAAAAGTTGAAAGATTTCCCTTGAGATCAGGAGGCTATCCACTATTAACACTTGTATTCAATATTACACTGGAGATGCTAGCCAACTCGGTAAGACAAGAAAAAGAGATAACAGTATAAGGCTTGAAAAGGAAGAAACAAAACTGTTATTATTTGTAAATATTATGTATGGAGAAAACTCAAAATAACACACACAAAAAAATCAGGATTAATATGAAAGTTTAATAAGGAAGTTGTGGTTATGAAAGGACACACATAAGATGTCTGGAGTGCTGGGACTTTTATCATTATTTCTTATATCAAGAATTTATGTTCTATGCACTTTTCTGTATGTGCTATATTTCAAAATTTTTAAAAGCATTAAAAAAAGTGGTCAGTGCCACAAGGGAACAAGTGTTAAGTCAGTGTTGACTGAATTGTCATCTTACCATTTTCATTTATCTAGATGAGGGTAGAAGAGGAAGTCACTGATAGAGTGTAATTAGGGAAAATCTGCTTGCCTATTAGAGCAGATAAGTGAAGATGAGGGGAACAGAGGAGAGAGAAGGAGATAACATTTATTTAATATTTCCTTGCTATATTCCAAGCACAATGTGAAGATATTTTACATATATTAACTAATCCCTTACATAAACATCAAGCCTATGAGGAAGATACTATTATCCTACTTCTAAAGATGAGGAAACGAAGATTCAGAAAGGTTAAGTAACTTGTTCAACCACATACACGTAGGAAGTCAGGATTCCAACAGAGGGCTATCTAACTCCAAACCAATGCTTCCCCCACTGTGTCTCGTGGCTTACTCAGTTCCAGAAGTTCCTTGTGATGCATCTAATGGTTTAGCCATATTCATAGTCTCTTCTTCTTGCTGATACTTATCTTGATTTTGTTGCCTTTGGGTCTTCCTTCCTTCCTTCCCAATAGGGTCGATTCCCTATTTCTCTGTTCTAAATGTCCCTACCTAATAGCCTAGCTCACAAAAATTTAAGCCAAATAAGTTAAGCTGGGATGTTATGGCATTAGTGCATCCTGCGGGAATATAAACATATGACAAAGAAGTCACTTTGCGTTAATATGGAGCCAGAATAAGCCAGGAGAGATATAAGGCCTGAGGTTTTTTCTTTGTTTTTTGTTTTGTCTTGTTTTTTTTCTTTACAGCAGTTGGTGTATAGTTTTCCTCAGGCAACTTTTGCCACCTGGTGGTCAAACCATAAATTGCCGTTCTGGATCCTGGTGGAAACATGACTACAGCAACTCCCTAAATAGTCAGGGCTGAAAATGCTGTAATGGATAGTGTATCCTAGAGGCTGAGCAATCTTAAGAGCTGAACCCATGACCTGTAAGAGATTCTACATGGTGTATGTTGGCCCACATCAAGGAACTGTTACATTTGAATGTACGAGGGCAGCTGAGCCTTGGTGCCTTGCTGTGGCTGTTGTGTGTAAGGGAATTTTTTGTTGTTGTTGTTGATCTTGCATTTTTCCCCTAACTCTGGATCATGTTTCTAAAGCAGCCACTTTAAATCTCTTTACACAAAGCAGAAATTGTTCATGTATTTCCTGCACAGCCATCTTAGCATCAAATTCATATAAAAGCCTGTTTCTGGACATGAAGGGCTGAATATTTGTGCTTTTCTTAACCAAACACTGGATTCCCATCTGAGACTGTTTTTGAACTTGACAGGGCCTATTGGATATTTATGAAAAACCTGAGAGTTGATAACCGTGAGGCTATAGGTTTAGATGTGCCCTTTATGCTTGTTGGGTGTTTTTTTAATAAAGTAACTGCTTTGCAGAGGGATCTTGTTATCTCTAAAGTAAAACAGATTAGGAAAGCTGTTTTTCAAAGGGATGAGAACGCATCCATTTCCAGATGTGTCAAAAACTACTGAATCACACTGTCAAAGGATTATGCGGTTGAAAGCAAAAATCAGAAAGAAAGAAAAAATGATTTTTACTCTACTATTAAATAAACAGTGCAGATTAGTTTTAGAATGTTCTTTCCTTCAACGAAATAACTGATGCACGATTTTTTAAGAACATATTTTCTAAACTGGAGACTTTTTCTCCTGGATCCTTGGACACAGGAGGGAATATCGAATCTCCCGGAAATCTGGCAGACCACAGAATAGAATAATTTTTATTCCACAGATTTCATATCAATTGCTTCAAGGACACGTGGGACATCATGGTCTATTTAGAGTTATAGTTGGCCTGAGTTTTCTCTTGAGTAGAAGTATTTATATAAATACTGAACTGAATTGACTTTATAGTATTTCTCTAAATAAAAATGGAACATTCATGCTGTCACCTTCACTAGCCCAAGGCAAGATGGAACTAGTAGCGAAAATGTAAGTAGCTATGTTCCTAAAAGAAAGAAAAACATTGGCTTATCCTTGGCATGCATAATTAAGTACTCCCTCTAGAAGCCCGGATGTGGTTCTCTTTGTCACAGAATGAAAAGTTAAATCTTTTGCTTACCTCCAAATAAGCTTTTGTTGTAAGGTTTCTTCCACATTTCCACTCTCTCTATATGGCCCTATATAGATTTCCACTTTCAATATATGATGTAGATTTCCCTCATTCAGTCAAAAAAATATATTTACTGAATTTCTACTGTGTGCTGGGTGCTCAGTGTACAGTTAGAGAAGATAAGATAAAGTTCTTATTCTCTAGGAATCCACATTCAAGATGGAGAGACAGACATGAACACATAAGTATTATCAGGCACTGATAAATGCTATGATTAAAAATAAAGCAGGGTAAGAGGCAAGAGGCCCTTGAGGAGGCGACATTTGAGCAACAATAGGAATGAAGTAAGGGTTTGAAACAGGTGAATATCTAAAAGCAAAGCATGCCAGACAAGGAGAAAAGCAAGTGCAAAAACTTCAAGACCCAGCAAGCAGGCCAGTGAGTCTGGAGTGGAAGGAGCAAGAGAGAATGAAGAAGATGTGTTTGGAGAGTTTCATACATGACTTTGTAGGGATTAATGTGCTATTATTCAAGGGTGATAAAAAGTCAGGTTGACTCAGTTATTCAGCAGCATCACAAATATGTTACCACAAGATTCATCCCCCACTCTATTTCTCTGGTCAAATTTGGAATAGCTATATACTTTATCCATTTCTTTATTAGAGATTCACAATCAAGAGCATATTACAAATTCTGAGACATTCACAGTAAAGACGTTTGTTTATGCATGTTAAACGTATTTATCGTGGAACTCTTTTTGCTATGTAACATTTATTAACTCTAGGAATTACTAAAGCATGTGATGCAGAAATCAACAGCATGAATCTGTTCCCTCTCTGTCCCTTCATATGGCTGCTTGCTCTATAGCCAAAGATGATATCTCTATCCCAATCAACATATAAGTATACTCTTTGATCACAAGGAGAGCTAGTGTGCATGACTCACATTGGTCCATGATATGGTGCTGTGGACCCACTCATTTATTCATTTATTCATTTAACTAACTTTTGTTAAACTCCATCTATAAATCTGCAGATGCTCATGAAATGGTTTTTAAATTAATGAATGATTAATGAATGGAAGAAGAGGATGTAAAATAGTATCATTTTCTAACAGGAGGTGTATTTATCTGGTAGTTCTCTTTTCCACACATCCCCTGCCTCTGACCTAGTCTGTCACCCACAAAATAGGACCCACAGAAGTTTGAAAAGGCTTTGTGATTGTTGCCAGCATGATGAGGCAAACAGTTGATATGGTTTAATCAGCAAATATTTGCAACTTGCAAAGGTAAAGGTCAGTTATTAGACGTGAGCCATACAGCCTGAAGGCAGCATATCTGATGGGATTTAGGAACGTATCGTCTAGGAAGCAGGGTTCTTTTCAAAGGGTTTAGTGTGACTTTCCTAGGTAGACACTGATTTAGAATTATTGACACAAACACGTTTTGGGAGGCATGAAACATGCCTTTCAGGAATTACCTTTTCAGCACAGAAACGTAGATCATATGGGTAACAAAAAAGCACAGGGCTGACAAAGGAAGAACAAAGGCCCAACACAACTGGATGTTGGTGTCTTTGATTTACAGAGCAAACCACGAGCAGTGAGATCAAAGATGAAGCAGTCACAAAGGCTGATCCTCTTGAAAAGGTAAGGAATGATTTCCCTAATAGTGTAGATACAAGCAAGATGATCTCAGAAAATCGTGACCCAGAGTGAGAAACCCTAAATAAATAAATAATTGAAAGGAGATCCTTAGGAGGAGAATGCTGATGCTAGAGGAGAAGGATCATTCAGACATCCCAGACCAGCCCCAGCTGGAGAGAAAGGAGTTAATTTCACTAGCCGGCTTAAGCAAAACTTCCAAGCTCCACGCTCCTCTCTAGACAGTGTGGCTTGGCAACCTCACAAACACCTGCTCACCATACAGCCATGTAGAACTAACGCTGTCTTGAAGTGAGTTCAGAAAACCTGCCTATAATTGCCAACAGGACTCAGAAGAGTATAACCTAACAATAAAAATATTTAGATTATGTTGCCCATAAAAAAAAAAGTCAAAGGCATACTCTTTCTGGCAGCAGTCCTCCTAAAATGTTGCCATATGGATTTATACATATGCAGATTTCCCCAATTAGATGGAGTGCATGCTGCCTCATTGATGGAGTCCAAGAGGGCTCCATTTGGACTTAAACAAATTAAAGCTGAAATTGTATTCCTGTGATTTTTTAGAAATCCAAGAAGATGACTGTGGAAGCAGAGTTAGAGGACATAAAGAAAACACAGCAACGCAGCCTAATGGACTGGAGTTTTACTGAGCATTTTAAACCAAAAGTTCTGCTTCAGGTATTAATGGAGTGTGAGTCTCCAGGAGACGGTCGGATAGGTCTGGAGAGTCGCAGTGTGATTTAGAACAGTTCCCCTCTAGGTCACTCTCTCAGATCTAGTTCAGATCAATATTCCCATTTACTTCAGCTATAAAATGAGTTTATTCCCAGATTGAGCTATGCATGCCCAGGGTATCTCCAAAATAGTTTAAAATACACTTCCCAAAAGGATGTTTTTATAAAATCTTTTAAGAAAAAAAGAAATATGCATGACTGCTGCACATATTTTCTAAAAAAACACAAAAGTCCGGCATTATTGGGAAACAACTTCATTTTTTCCCATATTGCCTGTCAGTTCTATTCAATTTTCACCGCATATCAAAATAGGTTCTGATGCAATTAACAGGCCAATGGAACCTGTGATAGCTAACATTTATTGAGCACTTACCACATGCTAGGCAATGATCAATATGTGTCATTAGCTCATTTAATCCTTGCAATCATCCTATGAAGTAGACGCTATTTAAATAGGAAACTGAGGCACTTTGACCAATAGTAACTTTTGTCCAAGGTCACATACCTGGTGAGAGAAGCAGGATATGAACCCAAGAAATCTGGCCTCAGGCTTGTGCTCTTAACCACTACACAAAATATCAAGTAATCCTAAAACTAACTCCTTTTGTTGCGTTTACATTTTCTGCAAAAACCTGTACTCTTTTTTGTTTTATCCTCTTAATTTCAATTTTACTTTTATCAAAGTTTTACATCTACATATTTTTAAAGCCAGAAAGTTCTATAAAGTCTTATGAAAAATAGCAACTCCCTCCCACTCCCACGCCTAAATTCCCAGAGGTAAAAATCTTCAAGGCATTTACCTGTTTCTTTTGTTACTTAACTCAGTTATCTCTAAATAACCAGTATATTTTGTTTAGTTTTAGTTTTGAGCATCTTTATCAACTGACTCTCTCTTAAGAAAATAGCTCTGCCCGCCCTCATCTAAAACACACATGTATGCACATACACACTCACTCATACACTCGCACACTCACACTAGCACGTCTTCTTGCCATTCTCTGGCACTGTTAACTATATCATAATTTTTAGTTAGATCAGTATTCAATGTTTACTTCATTTCAATTATATAAATGTTATTCACAGCTGAACTGTGTAGTATTAGAGGATTACATTTCCTTTTTTAACACTGTTTTTGTCTTCCCTGGAGTTCATTTTCCCATTTTTTTCATCTGTTTAGTTTACTATGCCTTTATCATTACTCATCCCCAAACTCTCTACCAAAGAGTAAATCTCCTCTTAATACATTCAAACCTAACAGGTATTCTATCAATTTTATTGTCTCAGCGATCTCTCTCCCATATGCTCTGAACTCCTGCTTGCCCTCTAAGCCTGCTGCACAGCTGTGCTCCTGGGATCTCCCTTACTATCATCCTGGCCACATCCTTTGCCTTCTCTTTCCAGTTAAATACTCTGTTTCCTGAACCCAGGTCTTCTTCTCTCTTGGGTTACTCTCTATTTGTAGGGGACCATCTCTTTCAGTAGCTTCCTGAATTAAGATATATGTCAGGTAAATTTTTGAGGCATTGGATGTTTAAAAATATCTTAATTCTCCCCTTACGTTTGACTGACAGTTTAGCTTTATATAAAATGCTAAGTTAAAAAGCATTTTTCCTCAAAATTTTTATTTTGGTGAGGAAGACTAGCCCTGAGCTAACCTCTGTTGCCTATCCTCCTCTTTTTCCTGAAGAAGCTTGGCCCTGAGCTAATTAATATCTGTGCCCATCTTCCTCTGTTTTATATGTGGGACACCTGCCACAGCATGGCTTGATAAGCAGTGCGTTAAGTCCATACCCGGGACCTGAGCCTGCGATCCCCGGGCCCCTCAGGCGGAGTGTGTGAACTTAACCACTGTGTCACCGGGGCCGGCCCCTCCCTCAAAATTTTGAAGACGTTCCTCAATAGTCTTCTAGCTTCCTGAATTGTCCTTGAGAAACAACAATGAAGTTCTGCTTCCTGATCAGTTGTTTGAGTCTGTTTTTTCCTTCTCTCTGGAAGATTTTAAGCTCTTCACATTGCTACAACATTGTGGATTTCCCGTTGACGTGCCTTGGTGTGGTTCTGTTTCCTGGTATTGTTCTGGTGAGCCCAGTACAATCCAGAAACTCCTGTCTTTCTATTCTGGGAAATGTTCTACAATTATTTCTTTGACAATCTTCTCTTCTCCGTTTTCTCTGTTCTTTCTTCTTGGAACTTGAACTCCTGTTATTCTAGTGTTGGATTTCCTGGACTGAACTTCCAGTTTCCTTATCTTTTCCCTCCTGTGTCCAACACTTTGTCGTTTTGTTCTGGAAATATGGCTCAACTTTCATCCAATTCTTCTATTGAGCCTTCTATTTCTGTTACCATCATATTAATTTCCTAAAGTTCTATTTATAATTTCAAATTATCTTTTTTATAGCATCCTGTTCACCTTCCCAGATACCACATCTTCTCTTATCTCTATGAGGATATTAGAGTCCTTTGAAGTCTTAGTGTCTTTTCCCTGCGTTGTCTCTTTTTCCTTAAGTTGTTTTTTTTGGCTTGATTTTTTTTTTTTGGTCTCCATTTTTCATATTAGAGAATAATATCTAATGATATTTACTTCTTTGCTCATATTAATAATGAGATCCTAAAAATATGATAGGAAGTGCTGTATGAGGTTGGGGTGATGGGGAGTTGTCAATAACTGAGCTTCATTGTTGAATGAGTTGGCTGAGTGATTTCCTTGGGAGACCCCTCAGTGTTGGTATATTAGGTCTGTACTCTTGGGCCGTTTAGATTCTCCAGGAAAACTATCTAATCTCCTGTCTGAAAGCTGTAACTTTCCTGTCAAGGTTTGGGGAGCTGAGTGATGAGGGGAAGGAGGTTGGACTTCTTACCATTCATTCTCTAGATCTGCATTGTCCAGTGTGGTAGCCGCTAGTCACATGTAGCTTCTCGGTACTCGCAATGTAGCTTGTCCAAATTGAGATGTGTATAAGTATGCTATACACCATATACGTAGCTATATAAGTGCAATGCACACCAGATTTTAATGACTTAGTGTGAAAAAAAGGTGATATATTTCATTAACAATTTTTATATTGATTACATATTGAAATGATAATATTTTTGACATATTGGGTTAAATAAATATATTGTTAAAATTAATTTTACCTATTTCTTTTTATTTTTTAAATCTGGCTGCTGTAAAATTTAAAATTACACATGTGGCTCACATTTGTGGCTCACCTTATATTTCTATCGGACAATGCTGATTTAGACTTTTACACAATTCCCTTTTTTTCCGTACTATAGCTCTCCCTCAGCAGTGCCTAGAGTATCTCTTCTTAGAATCCACTGGGTCACCTTCTGTAGGTAATAATCCTACCTTCTTCTGCTGAGATGGGAGATGGCAGCCACCTGGCTGCTCGGAATTGTGGAGGGGTTCCGGGGGCCCTAACAGCTTCTTAAAAATACTTTAATCGCTCTATTTTCTTTTTTTTTTTTTAATTTTATTTATTTATTTTTCCCCCAAAGCCCCAGTAGATAGTTGTGTGTCATAGCTGCACATCCTTCTAGTTGCTGTATGTGGGACGCGGCCTCATCATGGCCGGAGAAGCAGTGCGTTGGTGCGCGCCCGGGATCCGAACCCGGGCCGCCAGGAGCGGAGCGCGCGCACTTAACCGCTAAGCCACGGGGTCGGCCCTAATCGCTCTATTTTCAATGCCGCGTTCACGCCCGCTTTCAGAGGTACCTGGCACTGCCATTCCCCGAGCCTTTCTGCGTTTCTGCACACCAATAGGATTGCTTCTGGTCTCTCCTAAAATTAATCCTAGAATTTGGCTTTCTATGTTCTGCTAAGTCAGTTACCACTTATCCTTCTGCTTTCTGGCTTCTAAAATGTTGTTGCCTTTGTCTCCTCTCCTGTGGTCTTCAACTTTGTGATATTAAAAACTAATAATTTAACTGTTCTTTTAGTGAAGTGTTAGGGAGTGCATGTGTTTAATCTTCATCTTCAACTGGAAGCTCATTTCAGACTTTATTTTATCTCGATTTGGCTCCGTCCTCACCATTCTACGAAGCTGCACTTTTCAAGGTCACTGATAATTGTCCTGCCAAATCTAATGTACACTTAGCTTTATTCATCTACCTTGGCCTTTTATAATTTTATTTATTTATTTTCCCCCCAAAGCCCCAGTAGATAGTTGTATGTCACAGCTGCACATCCTTCTAGTTGCTGTATGTGGGACGCGGCCCCAGCGTGGCCGGACAAGTGGTGCGTCCGTGCGCACCCGGGATCCGAGCCTGGGCCGCCGGTAGCGGAGCGCGCGCACCCAACCGCCAAGCCACGGGGCCGGCCCTACCTTGGCCTTTTAACAGCAACGCAGAGTTGATCACTTCCCTGTGAAACACTCTCCACTCTCGGCTTCCAGGACACCATACTGTATTCTTCCCTAATGCTCCATTTGGAATTTTGTTGAATACTTCTCCTCCGCCCAACATCTGAATATTGAAGTGCCTCAAGGCTCAGCCCTGAACCATCTCCTCTCCTCTGTAAACACTCTCTTTTAATGAGTTCATCTGTTATATACTACCTGATGCTGACGACTCCTAAATTTTTATCTTCCAAATGATCTCTCCCTTGATCTCCACACTGGTATACCTAACTCCAAATTCTGCTTGACTTTCTGATAGGCATCTCAAATTTAGTGTCTCACGTGAAGCTCGTAATTTTCTCTCCTAAACATGTTTCTCCCCTCATGCATGTCAGAAAATGTCACTATAAAGCCAAAAAGCCAAGAGTCATCCTTTATTTCAGCCTTTCCTTTGTCCTCATGCCTGATCCATCAACAAGTTTTGAGGGGTGTGCTTCAAAATATATCTTCAAGCTCTTCACCATCTCCTCTATTGCTACTTGAATCCAACTACCATCCTCCTGTTCTACTGGAATATCCTCCTAATCCTCACCGTGCTTCTACTCTTGCCCTACTCCAATCCATTCTCTATACATCAATGCTCCATCAATGTTATCTTCTTAGAACACCTCTCTGAACTCCAGAATGATCTATAAAAGTCTCAATCAAATTTTAGAGGAAAATCTTATCTATCTTGTTCAATGTTGTTTTCCGACAACCTACACAGTGCCTGGCACATAGTAGGTGTTCATTTTTAATGAAAGAATTAACCAATTAGTTAATGAGACCAACAATATTAATACCACTAGGTATTATTGGTAAAAGCCTAGGTAGTAAAAAAGGAGAAGGTAAAAACCAAGTAGTAAAAAAGGAGAACAAAGATATTATATGAAAACTTGTCCAACATTGAGAGCAACTGTAGCTCTGAGAAACTTGGTGTTATATGTCCTAGCAGCCAAAGTGAATGTGAAAACACAAAGATTGAAGAGCTCTCTAACTGAAGGAAGGATACATGCTCATCAGAAATAAACATATTTGTTTTCAGATTTAAAATCTGAAAGGAATTTGCCTTTCAGAAAGAGTAAAGTGATGGATAGTGCCCTACATAGAAAAAAATTCTTAAATGCAAGAATTTTCACCATGTGTGTTTTTTGTAATGGCTTTCAGGGAACAGATGTAAGAGTTTAAATGCCACTCCATAAAGACACTCATACAGGGGACTAGACTGGGGAAGTAAATGTATTATTTTGGTTATGCTACCAGTGTAAAATGGAAAGCAAAAGTAAAGCAGTCCGTTCGCAACATGATATGCAATTCCATGCCTTCAGATCATCCAGACGGTAGACAACTGAAAGCTGCCTACACCAGATTGATATTGAAAACAAAAACAAAAACAAAAACCCACAGCTGTCTAATTTATTGTCCTGTGGACATATTTTCTTATGTTGATTGGCAGTAAAAAGGAAATAGGACAACAAGGTGCCCACTGTGCCCCTCTATTGGTGGCTGCAATTGCAGTGCATGCAGAGGGTGGAATGTTTTGGAAAAGGCCGGGGTTAGAAGTCCTGTAGAAATGATATGTATCAGAGAGAGCACTCACCTCCTTCCTCTATACTGCGGCGTGATGTAGTGGAGAGCACTCCGTGGAGTGCCAAATGGTGACATTTAGAGTAGAAAGACTGGTATGAGCCCTGGCACCGGAACTTAGGAAATCTGTGTTCTCGGACAAGTCTCTTATCCTCTCTCAGCCCCAATTTACACTGAAATACAAGGATTTTAATATTTTGAAATGGGAAAAATAATTATACCTATTTATCTGAGGTTTTTAATGATGATAAAATGAGATGATCTATGTGAAGGCATGGAAAATGTTAAATAAATAACCGCTTGACTTAATTATTACCTCCCAGCCTTAATAAAAAACACTTCAGCAAATGCCTCTATGCCGGGAACCTAGGGTTTGTTTTTCTATAAGAGTTGCTGAAATGCTCCAGAAAATATTTGCTATTTATGCTCTCACCTTGACTAACAGTGTGGAGATAAGGGGAGGAAAAGAAGGGAGCAGAGAAATGCCCTAGCAGGAGACCCTTCTCTTGGGAGAAAGAGATACACCAATGCGATTATTTTGATTTTCAGGTTCTTCAAGAAGCCAGTCAGCAATACAGATGTATTGATTCTTACTACCACACCCAAGACAACTCTTTACTCTTAGTCTTTCATAATCCAATGAATTTACAACGTCTGCATTGTGAATATTGGAATGTTGCTCTTCACTCCAATGTTGGATTCAGGTAACCAGCTTAGTTTAGTCAGTTATCTTAGTTTAGTTAGCTTGTTAGTTACTTAGTTTTTGCTTCCTTAGCTTAAGCTCAGTGGTTCAACGCGATGAAAACACTTGTATAGTACTATAGATTCAACTCAGCTCACCAAGTTGAATGTCTGCTGTGCCAGGCACTGTGGTAGGTGTTGAAACTACACCACTGAAGAAGACGGACATCATTCCTGGCCCCGTTGAGTCCAGTAGGGATATTATTAAATTACATTTGATTCATTTAGACTCCAGTAAAACAGCCTCTGAAAAATTTCAGGTAGGAACTACAAAACGTGACATTCTGCGTGCTGGTTTGGGTAAGTCCACTTGGTCTAAGGACTTTAACAGATTAAAGGAAACAGATTAAAGTAGGGCGACTGAGTGACATATGCAGTCATGTTCCCAGCAAACTGAGACCTTTAGGAATCAGTGGGTTTTTTTCTTCCCAGCTCCTTAGTTATTTCCTTGCTATCTTAAAACTTTGCTCTCTCTTCTCATTAATAACGAGGACATTTCATTATTTTTTCAATACTGGTTAATGTATATTCAGGATTTGTTATTTGTGTAGCATTGTTTTAGTCCCAAAGGATACAGAAAGATATAGAGAATGGACATACAGAATAATTAGGGAAACAGGTTGTGTACATGTACAGACACACACACACAAGAACACACACATCTTAAAGTCATAAATGATTTTTTAAATTAAGGCACATAATAGATGCCTCCAGATATTAAGCTAGTATCTTGAGCTGTATTTTTCTTTGTTTTGTTTTTCATTGCCAATAATTATACTTTTAATTTCTTTTCTGGTCTTATTTGCTGACTAGGACTTCCAATATAATTTTGAGAGAGCATCCTTGTCTTGTTCCAGGTTTGGAATATTCAACTATTAAGTATGGAGTTTTTTTGCAATAGGATTTATGCAGATACTCCTTATTAGGTTAAAAAATTCCTCCTGTTACTAGTTTGCTATGGGTTCTTTACCATAAATGACTGTTAAATTGTATCAAATGATTTTTCTGCATCAATTTAGTTGTTCATATTTTTTTCCTTTAATCTGTTAAAGTGATAAATTTTATTAATAGATATTTTAGTGTTCAACTTTGTATTCCTGTGAAAATCCAATTTGTTCCTTATGGTGTCTTCTTTATAAATTGCTGCATTTGGTTTGCTAATATATTGTTTAGAATATTTGCGTCTGTATTCATGGGCAAGAGTCAGCTGTAATTTTCTCTTCTTTAAATGTTCTTCTCTGGCTTTAGTATTGAGATTATATTAGCCTCATAAATTAACTGGGGAACGTTCTCTCTTTTTATTTCTATTTTTTGATTTTCTGAAAGAGTTTGTGCAAGACTAAGATATATGTTCTTTTGGCATTTTGTAAAACTTACAGATAAAAACATCTGGACCCAGGAAGATGTTTAATTACTGATTCAATTTCTGTCATAGTTATTAGACTCTTTGGGTTTTCTATTTATTTTTGAAGTAGGTTTGATAATTTATATTCTTCTAGGAATTTGACCATTTCACCTGTTTTCAAAGTTATTGGCATAAAGTTGATTACGATAGTTTCCTGCTTTTTTAATGTGTTACATCTATCCGTAATCCTTTTAATTCCTGACATTTTAAATCTGTGGTTTCTCTATATTTTTCTAATCAATCTTGCCAAAAGTTTACCAATTTTGTTAATATTTTTAAAAAATAAATTTTTGGCTTTGATCCTTTCTCCTTTTTTATTTCACTTAATTATGTTCTCATCTTTATTATCTTTATTATTTCCTCTCTTTTAGTTCATTTGGATTATTCTGATGTTCTTCATCTAACTTCTTAAATTAGAAGATTATCTCAGGATTTTGAGTTGTTTTTTGTTTGTTGCTTTACAAGCATTTACAGCAAAATCTCTTTCTAAATACCTGAGCAGCACCATAAAGTATCTGATTGATAGTATTTTTATTATCTTTCATTTCTAATTTCCATCATGCTTTCTTATTTGGCCCATGGGTTACATAGAAACGTAAGTTTTAATTTTAAACGTTTGGTGAGTTACATTTTTGTTACAATTTATAGATATAGTGGTCAGGTAACGTGTTTTATAGAATATTGTTGCTATGAAATTTGTTGAGACCTGCTTTATTTAATGTTTATTATGTTTAATATGTGGTCAGTTTCTATAAATGCTCCAAGTTTGCATGATAAGATAGTATATTCTCCAGTTTTTGAGTGCAGGTTGTATTTTTTTAAATCTTCCACATTCTTTCTGATTTTTGAAAACGTTGGTCAATCAGTTAATGAGAAAAATGATTTTCAAAAAATGCACTATGGGGGCCAGCCCCATGGCATAGTGGTTAAGTTCGGCAAGCTCCACTTCGGTCGCCCAGGTTTGAGGTTTGGATGCCGGGCATGGACTTATACCACCCATGAAGCCTTGCTATGGTAGCGACCATATGCAAAATAGAGGAAGATTGGTACAGATGTTAGCTCAGGACTGATCTTCCTCAAGCAAAAAGAGGAAGATTGGCAATGGATGTTAGCTCAGGGCCAATCTTCCTCACCAAAAAAAGCTCACTATGTGATGGTAAATTTGTCAATTTCTCCCTATAATTTTATCAATTTTTGGCTTCATACATGTCGAGGTTGTGTTACTAAGCAAATAAAAGAACAAAATCCTTATGTCTCCCTGATTAAGCTTTTATCATTATGCAATGTCTCTCTTTATCTCTAGGATTGCTTTTTGCTTTCAAGTTTATTTTGTCTGATATGGATATGTCTACACAGATTTTATTATGAGTATTTTGTCTGATAGTGATAAACTATACAAGCCTTTGTTAAAATATTTTATCTAGTATATCCTTTTCTATCCATTTACTTCTTATAAAAACTGTATAAAGCTGATTTTTTAAAATCTAGTCTGAGAAAATTTGCCTCTTAGTTGAGAATCTAGTTCATAAGTTTGGACAATTTCAGCCATTTAGTTTTGTCTTTTTATTTGCCCTATTTTTTCAGTTTCTTTAGTTTTCGTCTCTTTATTTTGTTCAGATTAATTCTATTTTTTTACTTTAACTAGAATGACAGTTATATGCTATATCTTTTAAGTCCTTCTTTAGAAATTGTGATATACATTTTCAAATTAACAAGGTCTAAAGTCAGTGACTTTACCTTACTCCCAAATAATATAATAGAATGCTTTAATTTCATGTGTCCCTATTCTACATTCTATATTATTGTGGTCTAAGACTTTAGTTCTATTTTCATGTTTTAACCTCACAAATTAGACAGTATGATTATTTGTTTCTACAGCCAGTATTTGCATGATTTTACATACGCTTACTGTTTTATTTTCCCTTCTTTCTGAACTCAGGGCTCTGGAAGTTCCTATAAAGAGGATCTTTAGTGATAAAATCACTTTTGTTTCTCAGGGCTGGCCTGGTGGCGCAAGTGGTTAAGTGCACGTGCTCTGCTGCAGCGGTCCGAGGGTTGCTAGTTCGGATCTTGGGTGTGCACCGACACACCACTTGGCAAGCCATGCTGTGGCGGCCTCCCATATAAAGTGGAGGAAGATGGGCATGGATGTTAGCCCAGGGCCAGTCTTCCTCAGCAAAAAAAAAGAGGAGGATTGGCAGATGTTAGGATTGGCAGTTAACAGGACTGATCTTCCTCACAAAAAAAAAAAAATCAGTTTTGTTTCTCTTACATGTCTGCATTTTAACCTTGTTCATGAAAGATAATTTTGCTCAGGATATAGTTCTTGACTGACAGCTAAATTCTTCTCAACACATTGAAGAAAATTATCGCATTGTCTTCTGGATGCCTTTGAAGCTGTTAAGATGCAAACATCATTATTAATGGGAAACGTTACAACCGTGCTCTGTAAAATCAGACACAAGACAGAAATGACTGCTATCACCAATTCTAAGCAGCATTTAATGAAGGTCTAAATCAGCGTGGTAAACTAATAAAAGTAACTTAAAAGTATAAGAATTGAAAAGGAATAGAAGAAAATGTCATTATTAACAGTAGAGGTTGTTACCTACACTGGAAGATCTCAAAGCAATCTATAGAAAAATTATGAAATAATGGGAGAAATTACTGGAGATCACCTTTTTTTTTATTTCATTTCTGTGTACCACAAGAAATTGGTAGAACACATAATGTTTAAAAAAGAAAAAGATACCGTTGACAATAGAAACAAAACTATAGAGTACCTAAAAAAGCCCAACTCTAGGGTTCGTTATGTACACCCCTGCTTTCACCAAAGGGAAACCATGCCTTTTCCCATTCCTCACCCTAGTAAAAACGTTAGCTACACTTTGCTTCAGATTAACACAAATTAAGTAGTAAAAACCTGCATATTGATTTATTATCTAGATTTTATAATTTATTATAATAGATAAATTACTTCTGTCTATACAATTTTTATCTCTCAATAATCTATTTTATAAGATGTGTTCCGTAATTTACTTTTCAGTGATTTTTGTAATATTCTCCCAAGTGTGTAAAAATATATCACTTAGAGATGTACCAGTGTTATGCTAACCCCTTGGAATACGTTGGCAGTTATGTATTGTTTTTATGACCTGATTCTCCAGTACAAGATGGTTATGGGTTCAAATTAACAACCAGACTCACACAATGCAGTAGGCTTTAATCCAGTTCTGTGTGTACCTAGCTTTATGAAAGAATACAGGGCAGGAAATACAGCACGACCAGCATCTTTATCTTATCAGGAGGCTCAGCAGATACCCCAATACACTTTCTTTTGCTTCCCTCACCAACACTGGTTGTGTATGGCTGCTGAAGATGAGCACCAGATACTGTGTGGCTGCCCTTCACCCAGAGAAGCCACAGCCTCAGTTTCCTACCAAGACCTACATATCAACTCTCAGCTGCCTCATTAAGGAACAAGCCCACAGAGCTGGGGTTCCAGAGCACACAAGGCAGTCAAAACAGTCCACGTTTACCTTAACTCTGTAGTTTCCAAAAAAAACAATACTGTCAGAAGTTGGACTACAAGATTATTTTCCAAGGCCCTGTTGCTAACCTTTTACTCATACATACAGTAGCTTACATACTATAGTACATTGTCTGTTTTGCGAAGGGTAAGAACACTTCACATGGAAAACCGTTTAGAGCTAGTGGCTTCCTAGGGGTTGAATTGCAGGACCCAGTGGGAGAGATGCGAACGGATGAGGAATGGATTGTCTACAACCTTTTCAGTTCTTCTCAAATTAATCCTCTATTCAGGTGTTCTATTTTTTCTTCAATTACTTTTGGTAACATATTTTTCTAGGGGATCATGCATGACATCTAGATTTTCCAGTCTATTGGAATAAAATTAAACAAAATATTCTCACGATAAATGCTCATTTCTGAAAGCGATGTATGAACGTCTGTCTTTATGATTATAGCTTTGTCTACTTCTCCTTCCTGTTAGTTCTGTAATTGTACAGTGTATGTGTATAGGTATAAATTTAGTTTTGAATCTGTATTTTTAAAAGCATCCTTCTTAATGGATTGTAACTTTTGTCAATATGATAAAATGTCCCCCCCGTGTTCCCTTTAATGCTTTTCACCTTGAATTTAACCATGTTTGATATTAATGTTGTTGGAAATCTCTTTTATATAAGAATTTACTGATACAACTTTCTCAATCATTTTACATGTCAGCTAGGAATTGTGTTTTACTATATTAATGGAAAACTGACCTCAGTGGTTAAACTAATAAGGGGATTATTTTTCTCCTGTAGCAAGAAATCTGGAGTGGCACAATGCCTCAAAAAAGTCTTGAGGGACCCAGACTTCTTCTGGCTTCCTAGTCAGCCATCTGTCATCCTTTTATTTTCTGCATCATTTTGATTTGTAGATACATCTCTTTTAAATCTCAGCTTGAGTTTTTTCCAGCTACTCTGAAAGCCTCTGTCTTTTTAAAGATTTTAATAATAATTAATAACAATATTAAAGAACTTTAAAATTTACAGAATTTAATCTGTTCACTTTTATTTTTATTGATATTGTGTTTGGCCTTATTCCTACCATCTAATTTTATAAGCATATTTCTATTTTAAGATTAATCCCTTTCCTTCCTTTTGTTAGGTTGAATTTTCTTAAGTTTATTCTTAGCATGTGATTTTTTAAAAATTACACATTCTATTTATATTCTTCTAGAGGTTACAACTATCTCGTTAAGTTATATGTTTAAATGTTTTTATATCATAGCTGGAGGTAATGAGTGTTAATATCATTTTGCAGAAAATGTTAAGACTTTTAACAAATTTTCACTTATTCTCAACAAATCTCCTACCTCCCATTTTGAAGTTGTCTAGAAATTTGTTTCCAAGTATGAAGTAATATTTTCAATCAAATAAGTATCATAGTTATTTACATTTAATTATAAATTTTACTGTTTTTCCTCAACCCTTTTACTTATATCCCATGTTGTCTTTTTTCTTGGATTTTTTTTTTTTTTTGCTGAGGAAGATTAGCCCTGAGCTAACATCTGTTGAAGTTTTCCTCATTTTTTGTTTGAGAAAGATTAGCCCTGAGCTAACATCCATGTCAGTCTTCCTCTATTTTGTATGTGGGTCACCACCACAGCATGGCTTGATGGGTGGTGTAAGTCCATGCCTGGGTTACGAACCCCTGAACCCAGGCCACCGAAGCAGAACATGGCGAACTTAACCACTACACTGCCGGCCGGCCCCTGGATTAATTTTTTTAATGCAGCTGGAATACATTTGTGAGTAATTCTTTCAGAAAGTGTCTGTGGCTGGCAAACTTCCTGAATCATTGCATGCTGAAATATTCTTTATTTTGTCATCTCATTTGAACACTGATTCGGCTGTATATGGGTGTCAGTATTCCCGCATCACAGATCAAGAGTAAGGATTGTGGATTTTGTTTGAAATGCAGATTCATTGAAAGGTTCTGAGCAGAAGACAGACAGGATCTGACTTAAGAATGAAAAGGACCTCTCCAGTTGCTGTGTTGAGAATAGACCACAGGGGGTCGAGGGTAGGAATAGGGAGACCACTTGAGAGGCTATTGGAGCAATCCTAGCAAAAGGTGATAGTAGCTTAGACCAGAGAGATAGCAGTAAAGGAAGTGAGAAGGGATCAGATTTTGAATATATTTTAAACATGTTGTAGAAAATCATTTGGAATTCTTGACAGGTAGGAAGAAGAGTGTGAGAAAATAAGAGTAGTCGAGGATGACTTCAGGGTGTTTGGCCTGTTCAACTGAAAGTGTAGGCTTGCCATCAGCTAAGATGCCCAAAGGCTCTGACAGGGCAGTTTGGATTGGAGACCAGGAGTTCATTTGGGGACATGTTGACTTTGAGATGTCTTTTACCTTCCAAATGAAGATGTCGAGTGCCCATACTTCATAGTCCACCAGTTTCAGTTTATTTCTTTAAAAGGGATCAAGAATTAAAGAAAATTGTGAAGCAACCTGAGTATAGAATTCATCTAGCTTTATGTTTTCAAATTAGGCCTTATGTTTACACAATTTGATAATATCAAATCTTTATTGTCAAACCTAAATATTTCAACTGATTTCCTCAGAAACAACTCTCTTTGAACATTTATATGTTGTAAGCATACATAACATTTAGTTTAAAAATAATTATAATAATCAGTATAAATACCATGAATGGATTTGGGAACAAATATGACTGACTCCTGGTAAGTAACAACTTGCTGATGTGAGCATAAGCACACAAGCAGCCTAGGGCATAATGTTTAGGATGTGGATATTCACAAGGCCAGTAAGTTTTACAGCAAAACTGGAGTGTTTCAGTTAATCCAGTGAGTCAATTAGCTGGCGGTCATTTAAGAGTTTCCATTGTGCTATAAAATTTCCCTAAAAAGAGATTGCACCATATTACTCTCCAACTAACATTGTTGGGAGTGACTCTTTCTCCAAACTGTCATCAACTCTTGGAATTATCAAACTTTTTAATCCTTGACTTGGGTGGAAATATTTTTAAATTTACATGTCTTTAATTGTGAATGAAGTTGGGCATTTTTCATATGCTCCCTGGATATTTGTATGTGACAACTTTGTGCAAAATACCTCTAAGATATATCTGAGCCTGTTACATTTGTAATAGGCAATTTAGGGCCTATTTAAATGGTCAATTTAAGATCGGTTCATTTTTGAAAAGTTTATTTGCATAGTCGGTATCTTAAGCATTATTTAACTAATTAATAGTAACTCAATTTTCATCTGCTCTTTTTTGCTTTTTTTAGGAATTACTTGGAACTTGTTGCACAATCAATTCAAGATTGGATCATAAAAGAAGAAGCTATATATCAGGAAACTAAAATGGCTGAGGAAATCGCTAGGAGCAAGCTTGAACTGGAATTGACATCTTCTGCTAATGCCAAAATTGCTTCTCCTAACAAAATTTATTCTGTTAAAAAATCTAAAAGTAGGTAACTGGTTGAACTTATACGTGAAGTCCCCCAAAATTCTCTTACTTCTTAATTTAATCAAGACTGAATATTTCAGGATTAAAAAGAGTTATCCATGGGGCCAGCCCGGTGACACAAGCGGTTAAGTGCTCACGCTCCGCTGCGGCAACCTAGGGTTTGCCGGTTCAGATCCTGGGCGCGCACCAACGCACTGCTTGTCAAGCCATGCTGTGGCAGTGTCCCATATAAAGTAGAGGAAGATGGGCACGGATGTTAGCCCAGGGCCAGTCTTCCTCAGCAAAAAAAAAAAGAGGAGGATTGGCAGATGTTAGCTCAGGGCTGGTCTTCCTCAAAAAAAAAAAAAGAGTTACCCACAAAATTTCTGCGACTCTTCACTTTCTCTAAAAAATAGAATAATTGCATTCCAAACATGATGAGGTTGTACCTGAGTGGGATAATGGAATATTTGTCTTATGTTGACCCCACTTCCTGCCAGATCTGGAAGATTTGATCTCTTGTGCAGATCAATTATGATGTTAGGGAAATGTTAGATGCCTTTATTCTGGTAGGATTGATAGGTTCAGCTGTCTAACAATTGTTAACAATATATGAGGTAAATTCAGAGTCAGTACGTCTCCATTAGAATAATTATAGATTCCAAAAGTGAAATTAAAACAAGACCTTCCTTAGAAGAGCAAACAGAAGAGTCCTAAGACTAACTGAGGGTGGGAATCCAAAAACAAAGGGAAAAGAGATTTTGGGGGGCCTGTGGCAGGGACTTGACAGGATGTTGGATCAATACATATCTTTGTTTTTGTTGTTAATTTCCATGGCTTTGATGCTGTCAGGGGAAGGGGGAAGAGGGTGACAAAAAGAGAAAAGATATTTGATAAAGAAGTGAAACAATGAAGTAATTCATCTGGGAAATAAGGATATTTCACTAGGTTTGTACAAAGGGAATAGACTCCATGTTAATAATATTCATTATTTCTGATAGCCAAAGTTGAAAGTGACTCATAAAGAAGCAAAGCTATATAATTTCCAAAGTTTTTGCAACCTCCATCAATTACCAAAAGAATTAGTACTTGGCTTGATTCTAAAGTAAAACTTAGAAAACCAAGTTGATGATGAATCATTCACCATCCACCAAAATGGTTATATAATCCATCCATCAGCTTGGCCTTCCTCCTGAGGGGAAAGCAACAGGACAGCACTAAGTACCTGGAAGGATGGAGGGGACTATACAAAAAAGAGAGAGAGAGTCGCCCTCTCACAACTGTGCCTACAGCCTTACTTGCCTATTTAGCAAGAAAAATTGTGGGTTAACCTGCCTTTTCTTTATTCTGCTTCTGAACAGAACCAGAAGCTTAATAGCTATGTAGGTGCCTGTGGAAATCCAGAGAACGGTCGGTTTGGGATTGGAATACACCTGGCAGGTATTGCATTCAGTTTGAGGCCTCTCAAGTCAGGAAAGACATAAATCTTCAAAACTGAATGACCACAATGGCAAGAGGGGAGCTTTGAAATGGAAAGAAAAGTTAGATTTGCTCTGTGCGGTCCTAAGGGGTTAAACTAGGAGTGATTAGGCTAAAGCCCTAGGAAGAGAGTCCAGTTCAATAAGGGCTTCGATGTCTCAACACACCAAGAATGGAAGACACTGCTCTCACCACCAGTGAGTTCTTCATCCCTGAAGGAGCTCAGTTCCACTTCACATGTCCACTTGGGAGATGGCAAGAAAAAATGCAGAGATGAGTGAATGCGGAGTTGAACTTGATAAGCTTTGTGATCCCCTACAACCCAGATGTTTGGTCCTTCTATGAAACTTTATTTTAGGGAGTTACTAAGAAGTTTCATTTTCTCTGGTTATAGATAACAAAGGAATGAGCAAAACAGAGTTATCAGATCAAGAAAAAGAGAAAGAGAAAGAGAAGGAAAGGATTCCTTTCATTTTAGAAGGCTCTCTCAAGGTAATCCAAGGAAAGACAAATGACCGAGTAATCACAAATTCAAAGTTATTTTGTGATGGGGAATTTGTGTGGTGCAACAGCAAATAATCTTTTTGTTAAACTCTCAGAAATGATTGAATCTGAAATGAAAGGACAATCTCTCCACCACACTGTCTCCTCCACCAGCTGATAAGCCGTTAAGGGAAGCTGTGTTATTCATTTTTATATAACCCAAATCCAGACCAGTGCCTTGTCCATACTTGGTATATTCTCTGTTTCTGCTGCAGCTGATTATTTTTGTTTGCATATTTTTAATTGCAATTTTTGTTTACAAAAGTAATATATGCTTTAATAATAAATCAGAATCACCCTGGTTCTCCTAAGCCCCTGAAATAAGAAATATTAACAGTTGTATGAGCGTATGTCCTAGGCTCATACAAGCACGCGTGCACAAATATAAAGAGAGTTTTCATTTGCTTGGTTTTGGTTTAGATTTGGTATTTTTTTTTTACTGCGCCACATGCTTTTTTCTCTTAGCTATTTATCATGAATATCACTTCCAGACAATATCTAGAGATCTCACTTTTTTAGCAATATATTAGTCCATAATTTGGATGCAGCATAATTTGTTAAATAATTTCCTTATTAATAATTATCAATTTATGTTCCTATTTATTCAGAAATATTTAACTTTTATGTAGTCAAATCAGTCATCTTTGGCCAAAATTTAAAAGACACAATGCCAAATTTTGACAAGAATGTGAAGTAAAATGAATTCTCATACACTGCTGTTTGAAGTATAGGTTGGCACTTCCACTTTGGAAAACTAGACATATCTGCTAAAGTTAGCCATACAATTTCTCTTTAACCGAACAATTCCACTCCGAAGTATATACCTAATAGAAATGCATACATGTGTGCACCAAGACACACGGACAACATTGTTCTTGTGGCATTATTTTTAATTCTTCCAAACCAGGAACAATTCAAATATTCATCAGTAGATTGCCTAGTATGATTTAGTTATATGATGAGATACTATGTAAATCTGGAAATGAATGACCTATAGCTACACATAGAAATAAGAATGAATTTCACAAACATGTTAAACAAAAGAAGAGAGAGTCAAAAGAATATATACCTTACGTATAATTTCATTTACATAAAGTTTACAAACAGGCAAAGCTAAACTAAAGTATTACAGATTAGGACAATGGTTGCCTTTGGGGTAGTAGAAGTGGGTAGTGGTTGGGGAGAAGCCTGAGGAGGGCTCCTGGGGAGCTGGAGATAATCTAGTTCTTGACCTGGGGGTGGTTACAGGAGTGTTTACTTGCTGGTAATTCATTCAGCTATTCACTTAGGATTTGTGCTCTTTTTGTATGTATGTTATAGCTTATCAAAAAAAGTTTTAAAAAAACCTATCATTCTCTTTCTGGTTTCAGGGCTTCTGTGTTTTTTGTTCCATTAGGTTGATTCCACCCTGAGATTATACATTAATTTTTCTGCACGCTCTTAGAATATTTTCATAGATATATTTTTTATATTTAGATATCTAATCTATCTAAAATTCGTTTTTAATAGTCTAATGTAAGGGTCTTACTTTTTCTTTGCCCAGATGAACTGTCATTTTACTAAAAACATTTAATTAAATGTAACATTAATCCCCCAGGGCTCCACTGAGTTGGGATGTTGACTATATTGCATATTAGGTACCCATTCCTTTTTTGTGTGTGTGTGAGGAAGATCAGCCCTGAGCTAACGTCTGATACCAATCCTCCTCTTTTTTTGCTGAGGAAGACCGGCTCTGAGCTAACATCTGTGCCCATCTTCCTCTACTTTATATGGGACGCCTCCACAGCATGGCTTGACAAGAAGTGCGTCAGCGTGCATCCGGGATCCGCACCCAGGAACCCTGGGCCGCTGAAGCGGAGCGCAAGCACTTAATCGCTTGCGCCACTGGGCTGGCCCCCCCATTCATTTTTTTAAATCCATTTTTGAATGCTGTATTCTGTTTCAGTCACCTACCTAATTATTCCTTTGCTAGTACCATACTATTTTAATTGCAGTAGCTTTATTATAAGCTTAAACATTGGTTAGGCAAGAGCTGACTTCCCCACCCCCATCAGCATGCAATAAACCTCAAAACAATGTTGGTTAATGTTGGTGAGCCTCTGTGGCATCTTGGTCTTAATGGTAAAGATAATTACGTGGCAAATCTTTAAGTTTATTATTAATTGCTGCTTAATTTTATCAGATTTTTTAAATGTCTATTGGTATTGAAACTAACATCTATTGGATTTCCTCCTTTATTTTGTTGATGTATTGAATTATGGATATTGATTTAACAATATGAATAACATTTGCATTTCTAAAACAAAATCCTCTTCAGCATTTCCTAAAGTTTAGTCCTCATCCCACATAACCACATATATCATAATTGCCTAGGTGTCTCTGGGGGAGGAGAGACATAAAATGCATGCCTTCACTCCATCCTAACTGCATCTTTGAGAGTAGAATCTAGGAATTTTAATTTTTAATAAGCTCCTTTATGTACATTATAGATGAAAAATTATAGCACTATTTTTTCATGATGTGTTATTATTTTAATAAACAATTAGGTTTGATTTGATGGTATTTTATCTAGAATTTTTGTGCCTATGATGACTGAAATTAGTCTAAAGACTTTTGTATTGTTATTAATAAGCATCAGTATTAAGATTGTGTTGGCAAAGTTGCCATATACAAGATCTACAGGGAAAAAAATCACTGGAATTCCGATTCACTAACAATAACCAATTAGAAAATGTAATATAAAACAAATATCATTCACAAGGTCATCAAAACCTATAAGGTGCCAAGAAAAATAAATTAATAAAAGATGTACAGAGTCTTCATGGAGAAAATTACAAAATATTGAAGGACACTAAACACCTAAATAAGTGGGAAAATACCCCATTATCATGGAAGAGAAGATTCAATTTAGGAAATGAAATACGCTATAAATTCAATGTAATTCCTATCAAAATCCCAACAGTGTTTTTTATGAACCTTGGAAAGCTGATTCTAAAATTAATAAAGAAAAATAAAGTGATAAGAACTTTCTTTCAGATGACATTAGACTGGAAAATTCTGTCTCCTTATTTTCACATTTCTGTGTCTTAGTGTGTCTCTTGTAAACAGGGACTATAAATTAGAGTTTTTAAAAAAATCATGTCTGATGATTTCTCTTATAGCAGGAGAGTTTAATCCATTTATATCTATTCTGATTAATTATATATTTGGAATTTCTTCAACGAATCATTTTTGTATTTTTTATTTTCCTGCCTTTTCTATGATCCTCTTGTTTTTCTTCCTTTCCTTCGTATTGAGCATATTTTCTCTTTTCATTTGCCATCAATTTAATGATAGGGAACATGAATTTTAACTCTAATTAAGTGAAATGTTATCCTTCCCCCAAAACAAATTCTATTTTCTTATTAGTAGAACTGTATTACAAAAAAAAAAAACTGTATTCAATGATTTGTCAATAAAATATTTGCAGAAATTACTTTTCTCACTTGTTACATAAGTACCTACATAATGTCCTTGATTTTGTCTCTGGACCCAAAAAGCCTGAAATATTTACTATCTGGCCCTTGATAGGAAAAGTTTAGAATGTAGACACTCTATTTCTATTCTACTATTGATTGCTCTAGAAATTCAACTTGTATATATGATTTAATGAAGTCTAAACTAAATAAAATATCTTTCCTTTCTTCCAGAACAATACAAAGAACTATTAAATTATTTACAATTTGCTTCTCCTCTCACAACGTATGTTTAAGCTTTATCTTGATTTTTCTTGTTCTCACAAATTAGACACTATTATTGTCATTGTTTTATATAGCCAATGTTATTTAGATTTAGTCCTGTGCTTACCATTTTTTTGTTGAGCATTTCTTCCTACATTTTATATTTTGGGAGTATTTCCTTTAGAACTTCCTTTAGTGAGGGTTTGTTGCTATTAAACCTCGGTTTTTACTTATCTGAAAAATGGCCTTTATTTTACTCTTATTCATTAAACATAGTTTTCATTTACAAAATTTTTGGTTGACTTTTTTATATCCTCTTAGTACTCTCAAGATGTAGTTCCACATTTTCCTTGCTGACATTGTAGTTGTTAATAAATGGATTGTCAATCTAATTTGTCATTCCTTGGTAGACAGTTTATCTTTTCTCTCTAGCTGCTTTGAAAACATTCAGTGGTGTGCTGGTAAATGTTTAGCAATAGCTCTCTAGGAAAAAAAAAAAGTTTACTCTACATTGTGCTGCTATATAGTATGCATAGCACACTATTTACAAATAATAAAACATATAATACTCTTTATTGTAAATTCCATTTAGCCAATTGGTTCTCACAGAATGCTTTCACTGATTTTTACTAAGCTCTTGTATCCTTAGCCAAACTATGGTTACAATTGACAAAAAAGTGTAGTTCTAATATGAATGTTGGCTGATATTTTCTATGAACAAGTAAGGTAAAGGTTAACAAGAAAGGGATATGTCTCACTCATTCATCAATGACATGAGCAACTTTGCTGAATCAGATGATAATTTTTGAATCCTGGAAGAATATTTCTTTAATTTTGTGTGCTAGTTACAATGTGACAGCTCCAGATGTGACACACTTTTAAGTTTAATCTGCATAATTAACATTTTTTCCATCGCTTAAGTCTAGATAATCAACAGTCAATCAATCCCTGATTTGTAACATCTGCTGGTTTCTGTAGTGTAAATACGCCTATCATGGCTGATCTCAAGCTACCGACATGACATCACTGAATGCAGAGTTGGAAGCAATGTACAGTAGCACACCATTATATTGTATTTCTACGATACAGATACAGTTGACATAAATAACCTCAAGAGTATAGATAGTGAAATATAACAAAATAATTAGGAAGGTGCTAAGTTTTGAGCTTTTATTGCCTTTGTTCTTAATATGTTATTTAATTGTGCATTATTAACAATTGTCTGAAAAAGTTCCTGAAAATTGAACCATAAGCTCTTTCAAGCCAGTATGAGCTGGGTCCACTGTTATTTCCTGCTTTTAATTCATTGGCCTTCCTGAATGTTAGGATTAGTGTCTTTCATCAACTCTGGAAATGTCTCAGCCGTTATCTGTTCAAATACTGCCTTTTCAAAATTTCTATTCCATTTCCAAGAGGGCTTCCAAACTCATCTTATCTTTGATACTCTCTTGTTTCTCACTTATACTTTTGATTCCTCCTTTTCTTTATTTAAGCATATTAAACCACTTATTTTATATTCTCTATTTGATAATTCCAATATCTGCAATCTTTGCAGATATAATTTCACAGTTTGTTTCTTCTTCACATTCTTTCTTTTGGCTTATTTCTCAGGTTTTATGATTTTCATTTGCGAGCTCATATCAACTCACAACCTTTTTAGAATAAAATTTTAAGGTAATGTTCATTTTGGCCACAAATCTGTGTGAGGACAGGCTTGTGGTTAGGAGTTCTCAGGGGTGACTTTCCTCTCCCATTCTCCCTTTAACTCAGGGCCAAGGAAGCAGGCTAGAATTCATGGTCTTTCTCAATGGGGCAAGATTCTTTTCTAGTTCACCCAATGAAAGTGTCATTTTTTAAAATACCTGCTCTATTCAGAGGTCTCTGGTCTGATCTCCCAGGTTATGTCTGTAGTCCCCATTACCCATTAAAACCCAAGTTCTAGGCTGCCAGGGATAGGCAGGTACCCCCTGGGAAACTGCTGTCTTTGGTGCCCACCTCCTGCACTGGGTTAGTGCTTTCTCGTATACTCGACTTTGCTACCAGCCCTGCTATGCATTTCAATGATGATTTTTATATTTTATCCATAATTTTTGAAATATTTTATGTCAGGAAACACCTAGCATACCATGTTTCTGACTAACCATGTTTAAGACCTAAATTGGGGATGGGACTCATGTGGAAAAGTATAGGCGACAGGGAGACAAGCTAAGAGGCTGACGCAGTAGTTCAGGCTAAGGGTAAGAAGACCTGAACAGAGGATGAGAGAAGAAAGTGAGGTGAGGAGAGATCTCTGAAGAGAACTGGCAGGATTTAGTACAGAGGAGTCGGGGGAGAGCAAGAGAACATCGAGGATGACTCCAAGGTTTCTAGCTCAGGATTTTGGTTTTTCAGAGATACCACTTACAAAAATCCTGTTAAATACTCTCCAAAATGAACCTCAATGGAATCTAATTTGTTTCAAAAATGCTGTTCAATGTTTTTAACGTGTTGGCAGGCATGGAAAGAAGAACAAGATCGATTAGCAGAAGAGGAACGCTTAAAGGAAGAAAAAAAAGCAGAAAAAAAGAATAAGGAAGCTGGTAAAAAGAAAGGCAAGGAAAAGGTAGAGAAAGAAGATAGTAGGCTTTTGAAGAAAAAATCTTTTTTCAAGGAGAACGCGAAAGAAGAGCAAATCAGGGACCCAGAAGTAACAGAGGAGCCCCTCCAGCAACCGGAACCTCAGATAGTTTACCCGGTAACATCAATTTTCTAATAAGCATCTTTGGGTCATTCTTAACTGTTTTGGGAAAAACACAGCTTCTATGGAAACATAAGGTTCCCATTCTTTACTGCGACCCCAGAAGGCTTTGGGGTTTCTTCTAGCACAACTGGTCTCAGACCTGTATTCCACCCCGATACCTAGGACCTTCTTTGCAGCCAATCACCAAGATAGGAACACCCTCTTGAGTGCAGTGAAGCTAGGTTACTAAGGGCGGTAAAGATGGAAATTTGACACAAAAACATATATTTAGGTTTATGTAAATAAGCCACTGTGATAGGTCAAAGTGTCCACAAAGAATACCTTTTTATCTGGCTCGGATGACGGGGGTTCCTGAGTACACTCGATTGCCTCTCTGCAGGCACCTAGGTTTCTTGCTTGTATGCTTTGTAACACCTTCCCTTTGCCAATCTCTCCCTCATGCAGTTTTGGAAAATCTAATGGCAGAAAAACTGGAAAGAAATGTAACAGTCCTTTTCCCTTCTAGCTACTACTCTGAGCCAGGTGTTCTCAAGCTTTAGCATGTATCAGAATCACCTGAAGCTCTATTAGCAACACTTAGTAAAAAGTCTTTAACATATGACCCCCTAAAGCTAAAAGTGTCAATACTCCTCAATATATCAGTTCACTTTAAACAGAAAATTAACAGCCAAGGAAAGAGAAATTGATTTTTTCTCACACTGCCTTGGCAAGAGTACAGTGATTTGATTTGCACTGAATTATAAGGATGCTCCAATGAACAGAGTTTAAAACCATGGGCCTCGTTTAATTCTGCCTGTCATTGTAATACCACAGGAGTTGCTAAAGATACTATGGACACTGGCCCCTGAGTCTACAAAGTGGCAGACAAATCATTGAGCAGAAGTTAAGCTTATGGCAACTTGAGTTGGCTCACACTGATGAGTTGATTTTTGTCAGTTGCCGTTCCACACTCATAGCATGATATTTTCTCTTCCAGTTTCGTGGATACAATATGGGAGATATACCCGTCCAAATCTCAGGAACAAATTGTTATCTATATCCTTCAGATGGAGGGCAGATTGAAGTAGAAAAGACGACATTTGAAAAAGGTACATTTTGAAAGCAGCTGGTTAATCTCTTGAAAGCTATTAACCCATTTCAGATCATCTTGAGGCACTGTACTCTTGAGCGTGAAAGGTGAGAGTGGTAATGTGCCCACTGCTATGCATTTATGCGCCACATTCAGCATTTTCAGACTTCACATTTTTCTGTTATAATTGACTCTGCAAGGCCCAGGCCAGCTGAGAGGTTAGCTGGGACACACTAATATGAACATTCCACTTGTTAAAATATTAAAACATTTCTATACGATTGGAAAATAGTATAGTAGTAACTGCAATAAGCAAATAGTTAATTAGTAATATTAATTACAACACATGGTGTTGTCTCAGAAACCAAGCACATACTGTGAACTTAGAGCAAATTTCTGGAGTGGGCTCTGGGGCACAGAGTTTGGCGGCCTGCTGTTGACACTGAGTTGTTTTAGCTACAGAGAAATTGCCTCTGGCTTCAGAAATCTTTAAGTAGGAGAAGGGTCTTGCAGATGAGCTGAGGAGGACCTAGGCTGGAAAAGCCCTAAAGGAAATGCTTAAGTCTTCCCAAGGGAAGAACAGATCTGGGCTCTAGGGGACCTATCAGGGACGTCATGCAGGACTTATCTTTTCACTGTGCTTGAAAGATCCCTCAGGTGGGTTTGAGGACCTGGGCTTTACTTGACAGCTTACTGTCTGGTAGGGAGCAGTGGTCTCCAAAAGCTGTAAAGAAGTCAGTGTGGAGGGAATGTGAGCTGGAACCTGTATCATATCCACAAGATTACACATAGTCTAATGACTATCAATTTAATGAGGAAATCATTGCAAGAATTAGATGCTGTTCTCTATGTGAAATCATGGCTCAAGTGGAAACATCATTAGATAATATTTGCCACATCAAACGAAAGATCACACCAATGAATTTTAAAATAAAAAAGGCCTGCAAGTTATTCAAATTATTTGAAGAATGGCTTGTAATACAACTGACATCAAATACCAGATTGTTTTATTATATGAGGTTTATTTATTTAAAAACTGAAAGGGATTTTTTATTAATATATAGGTATGCACATTTATTTATATTATCATGTTTTAATATTTAACATTTTGAATATCATCCGTGGGTATGGGGTACAATTAGTAGTAATTAAAAATGGCACTCAGAATCACATAACTGAGAAAAGCACTGGACTCAAGTTTTATAATGCTTTGTTCTGTTTTCAATAACTATTCCTTGCTCTTACCAAAATTTGCATACGCATACAATGTATATAGGTTTCAAATGGTTCATAGTAAATACAGTATTTTCATTCTAATGTTACCAATTATGAGAGATGATAATTCAATCAAAGTTGAAAGGAAAAAGCTAGATTAAAAAAAAGTAGAAGAAAAAAGCTGAGAGAAGAGACAAAAATGAGTCAGAACACTAGAAGAGAATATGTTATGAAAATTCTTATATGTTCCTACTAACAATAATAACTACTGTATCTAATGTTTATGTAATTCTTTATAAGTTGCAAAACTTTCACATTAACTATCTCATGTGATTAATCATAAAGTTGAGTATGGGTATACGTTAGCCTCGGCCAATTTATTTTCTCTTCTGTAATTTATTTGAGATGTGAGTAGAAAGTCTGCACGTGTCTCCCTGATCCACCTGCCATATATTCCTGGAATTCCACCATCACCTTATTCCTATAGGCATCTTTTCATAAAAATGGTGACATCCCTAGGGATTTCCCTTCCCTGACTTAAATTCTATGCTGTGTTATTTAAATGTCTTGTCAAGGAGCTTAATGGGGCATCATAATCAGCCCATCTTCTCTCCCATGATTCTTCCCCAGGCCCAACTTTTATCAAAGTGAGAGTGAAAAAGGACAAGCACAGTTTTATAATTCATTTAACAGACCCTAAGAAAATTGTGAGAAAGGAAAAAGAAGATGACGATTATTCTTTAGACGATGAAGAAGATGAAAGAGAGGAAGAACAAAATCTTGAAACAAGTGAGCAGCTGCATCTTTGTGGCAGTGGGGGCTTAATACTTCAGCAATGTGTCAAACCCATCCACCTGCCAGAAACACACGTGCATCCCTTGCACTTAGCATGTGTGACTTTTCCAGATGATAACTAAAGTGTTTTGCCGTTCTGCTTATATACATTTTCCCTAATGTAATGTGTATATACATTGTATACATAGGCCATCTATAGAGGGCTGCTACTGGATTTTGCCGCCTGTGGGCACGAGCTCTTGATTCCAGTTATCATACACAGTCTACCTAGCCTGGCTGGCTTTGTGTAGCAACATTGAATTTGCAATGTCCATTCTGGCCTGAATTTTGTTTTGTGCATTTGTACCAAGTGCAGTCTCTATGACTCAGGTCCTATTACTTGATCTCTCCTGAAGGTTTAGCTTCTCTCCAATAGTCACTGCAAATGATGCGGTTTCGTTCTATGCTCTATCACTTAGTTGTCCCTAGAGTGTCAAATTTCTTAGGTTGCAAGGACAAGAGAAGAATCCTAAATTTGGCCATGAGGGTCTCTATCTATTTGTAGATGAGAGATCCAAGTAGATGTCCGTTGATTGTACACCATGAAACTTCCTGATAACACCCCTTAACATCTCCAGGCAACACCACCTAGGGAAACTAATTGCTTCTTGCCCATTATGACGTAGGTTGTACCTGCAAAAGGGGATGAGTTCATTAATAAAATGTTTTGGACTCAAATTTGTGATAAGATCAATAACAAAATCTTGCTAATAAATTTGGTTATGGTCACAGTATTTTCCAAACTCAAGATAGGAACACAGTCTTTGAACGAGTTTCAATGTACCCAAGAACTTAAAACAGAAATTTTTAAATTACTTTTCTTTGTTTTACCCAATATAAAAATATATTGTTTATTATAAAAAATTAGGAAATATAGGAATATTTAAAGAAGATAATAGTTGCCCGTAATTCCACCATCCCAGCAGTAACCATTGTTCATAGTGTATTTCTTTTTCACTTTATCATCATGAGCATTTTTCTATTCGTTAAATATTCTTTGAAAACAAGCTTTTTTAATGATTTTGCAATTCATCGGTATATACATATATATCATAATTTACTTAATCATATCCATGTTTTTACATATTTAGGTGATTTCCACTTTGCACTAAGTTTGCTTACGTTTCTTTTTAATAAAATGGAAATGTCCTTGATTCGATTTTGTCTTTTAGAAGAGTCAGATGTGGAGAATAAAGCTGTCAGCAAGTTTGGATCTTTTTCTGCCACCTTGGAAAATGGAATCTGCCTCTCAATAAGTTACTACGGATCAAGTGGAATGGCACCAGGTGAAATACACATAACAGAAAGGATGTGTCCCATGACCAAGGGTGTCTGCCCATCCTCGGTCTGCTCACTTGATGATAAACATGTTCTGATTTAATAACCTTCATTTCCTGAAGGGTGGGAATATATGTGTGTGTACGTATATATGTGTGTGTATATATGTATGTACATATATAATCTTTCATTCATAGAAAATAGCAGTGCTTTGACATTTTAAACAACATTTATCATATATATATAATCTTATATACAATCACATATGTATAATAAGATCGTATATATATATACATATATATATTTCAGTTATCTTTGGTAACTAGCCCATGAAAATAAGTCTGTTAATTGGTGTCAAAGAAAGCATAATTTGCCAAGAAATTCTCCTGGTTTTCTACAGAATAATATTTTTATGAATCCTGTGATTGTGCAACTGCTCAGTGTGCTTCAGAACATTAGTCTTAAAGGAGCCATTCATTGGACATCTTGAAGGATTTCTTTACCCCACTTTTAATAAACAAATTCTCCAACTGGAAGCTATTTCCTTACAAACCACAAAATAATATGTCACTTTACCAAAAACCAATTAGGAAATTTTGTGGGTTCTCGTGCATTTTACAGGAATCTAACCACAACAGATTTTAAAAAAAAAAACCCTTTACAAAATCAAAAGGAAGTCCCTATGCTATCTAGCCGTAAAACCATGTGTGCATCACGGTGATCTGATTATCTGCCTTACTATGTAGTTCCTTTTCTGCAGAGACAACGTTCCCATGGATCGTTATAATCTCGTTGCTTACCATGTGCCCAATATTGTAGTACTCTAGTGAGTTAAAGAGCTCATTAAACTTGTTATTATTTTTGCTTTATTTGGGGTTTTATCTTTTAATTTTGTATTTGATTTGTTTTTAAATCAGCACTTCAGGAAGTCATTTAGTGCCTAACATATCATGTATTAAAAGCCATTATCACACATAGTCATTAAAAAATCCTATCCCTTCTGAACATAGGTTACCATTATTTTAGATTAAGTTATTTACATTCTCTTTCAATTGTGTTGCTGCTATTTCCTAAGTGGTTTCCTTATTCTTGATTTAATCCTTAAGTTAATATGCAATCATTCCATTTAAAACAAATGTTCCTAATTTCAGATTATAAGTACTACATTCGAAAATGTTTATAGTGTAGATAATAAATAATGTTTTACTTCTTGTATATTAAAAAAAGTTGAAGGGAGGGCCGGCCCAGTGGCGTAGCGGTTACATGCTCACTCTGCTTCAGCAGCCCGGGGTTCGCAGGTTCAGATCCCGGGCGCACACCAACGCACCCCTTGTCAAGCCATGCTGTGGCGACGTCCCATATAAAGTAGAGGAAGATGGGCCCGGGTGTTAGCCCAGGGCCCATCTTCCTGAGCAAAAAGAGGAGGATTGGTGATGGATGTTAGCTCAGGGCTGATCTTCCTCACAAAAAAAAAAAAAAAAATGTTGAAGGGCTGCCTGGTGGTGTAGTGGTTAAGTTTGCACACTCTGCGTGGCCTGAGGGTCACGGGGTTCAGGTCACAGGCATGGACCTATACACCACTCACCAAGCCGTGCTGTGGTGGCGTCCCATATACAAGATAGAGGAAGATTGGCATAGATGTTAGCTCAAGGACCATCTTCCTCAAGCAAAAAGAGGAAGATTGGCAACAGATGTTAGCTCAGAGCCAGTCTTCCTCACCAAAAAAAGAAAAAATGTTGAAGGCATGAATCTTTGTGAAAAATACGTTATAAATTTCTTAAGGATGCATGTAACACTAATATTTAAGAACTTTTATCTGCTAATGGCTAAACAAATTTCCAATCCAATTCTCCTCCCTTGGTTGGGTATATACAGCTCTCTAAAACTTATTCATCTTGCTTAACTGACTTCATGCCTATTGATTTTGATTGGTAACTCCCCATTTCCTTCTCCCCCCAGCCCCTGGCAACCACCATTCCACTCTTTGATTCTATGAATTTGACTATTTTAGATTCCTCATGTAAGTGGAATCATGCACTATTTGTCTTTCTGTGACTGGCTTTTTGCACTGAGTGTCATGTCCTCAAGGATCATCTATATTGTCGCATATTGCAGAATTTCCTTTTTTTTAAAGACTGAATAGTATTCCATTGTATGTATATGTTATATTTTATTTATCTATTTATCTATGGACATTTAGGTTGTTTCTACAACTCGGCTGCCCTATTTTTTTTGTGCTTTTCAGTTCCTTGAATGAACTGTGCTTTCTCTTATCTCTGGCCATTTGCTCATGCTGTGCTACTTGTTCAGAACACTTTCTCCTGCTATGTACACCGCCACTTTCAACAACTAAACTTCCTCCCATCCTTCAGGTCTCAGCTTACAGGTTACTTGCTCTGAGAAATCCCTCACAGAGCAAGTGGCAGTAGCATGTGAACTGGTCTTTGGAGGTCAGTGGAAATTGCTTAGGCAAAGAATCAAAGGAAGGAAATTCTAGATACCAGAAATAGTGTATGCAGAAGCTCAGTTGTACGAAAATGTGACATGTTTATGGAAAGCCAGACTATGCAGTATAGCCAAAGAATAGTTTGTATAGAGGTGTTTTGTGTTAGATGCCCTTCTTCTGGGTTCCGGTGGTGCTCTGTTTTGCCTCTATCACTGACTTAATCACACGACATTGTACTTAATGGTTTCTTCATCTGAAGTACCCATTACATTGTAAGTTCCTTGTAGTCTCGCTCATCGTTGGCTATCCAATTTATGGTACACAGTAGTAGGTACCCAATAAATATTTACTGAATGAGTAAATGAATGACAATGAGAGGGAGGAGTTTCTAGCTGCCTGTAACTGGATGCCATTCACTTATTTATATATTGTACTTCCTACGGATCAGGCAATTTGCTGGCACTGGTCACTAAGATGAATAAAGCCATGCTACTTCTGCTCAAAGAACTCATTGTCTAATGGGAAAAGAAAACATAAACGGAGAAATAACTGCATAAGGGCTAGAAATTATATATAAACAGAGTCCTGGGAGCAGCTAGAAAATACTTCAGAGAGAAAGTATAGTATCTGAGATGGGACTTGAGAGATGAGTGGGAACTATCAAGACAAAGCAACAAGGAAAGGGAATCTAGATAGTAGAACCATTTGTATAAATACACAACTGTGTAAAAGTGTGGCATCTTTACAGAAAGGTGAAAAGTTGAGTGTGGCTAGAGTGGAAAGGTGAGCATTGTATGTCCTTTATGGTTAGTGTGTGGCAGAAGTCTTTAAGTAAGGAAAGGGAAGTGACGTGGTGAGATTTTAGTTTAGGCACATAATTTTAATGATAGTTTGGAAAGTACACTGAAGTGGTGGTATTGGAGGTGCCATGATACCAGTTAGGGAACTGTTGCAAAAAATCAATCAAGAGATTGTGAGAATCTGAACTAAGGTGGAAGGTAGGAATAGATAGGTGAGGCATGATCTGAGAGAAATTTCTGAGGGCTTGGTGACTGGTTGGAAGGATAGGCTGAGTCAAACAGAGAAAATGCGAATGATCTCAATGTCTAACCTGAGAAATAAGGTGCACGGTTGGTCATGGCATTACCCTGCTTGGGAGAGGAGAAACTTACTGAGTTGGAAATGTCTCCAGTACCACAACCAGGAGGAGATATCTAAAAGCGGTTGTAAATATGCACCTGGAGCTGAGAAGAAAGATCATGCCTTGAGATGTGAATTTTGGAGTCATTAGCATAGAGATGACCGTCGGCGCCCCAGTAGTGGATGAGATACTTGGATCTAATATATATATATACAAAAACAGGTGCTCAGCCCTGGCTGCGTATCACAATCACGTGTGATGTTTCACAAATATAAATGCCTGGGCCTCATCCTCAGAGTGTTGGATTCAGTAGGTGAAGGTAGGGGCCTGAGAATTTTTTTTAATTCCATGACTAATTATTATGGGCAGCCAGAGTTGAGAACATCTGTTAGGTAATGATAAGGGGAAAACCCCTGGGACCTAGCAACATTTAAGGGGTTGACAAAAGAGGAAGAGTCAGTAAAGGAAACTGAGAAAATACTTAACTGGAGAGGTAAGAGGAGATCCAGATGGCAGTGTTATCCTGGGACCCAGAGGAGAATAGAATTCAAGATGTAAGGGATGCTCAGAAGCTTCCAACATAATTCCTCCACAGATCAGCTCTCTTTTTAGAATTCTGACAATCCTTTAAAACCCAGAATAAAATCGATCTTCTGCAAAAAAATTTCCTTTATCATCTCAGCTAGAAATAATCTATTTCTTTTCAGGATTTCCTTGTATGTATCCCTTATGTTTCTGTTTGATATGTCCTTCTATTGAAGCTATTTGACTGCAGATCTTATTTAGACTATTTTGGCTTCGTAAGGTCTTTTGTATAGTTTTTTCATTACTGCCCACTGCTCCAAACATTTTGTATATATGAGCCTCTTAATAAATATTTCTCAAGCAAATGAAGAGAGAGTTTACTGCCCTATCATTAGGAGTTTACAATCTAGATGGAAAGACAAGAACATGTGAAGTAATGACTAAATCAAATATACCAAAGTAGGAAGTACCTCAGACTTTTAAACTACAATCCTGATTTTCAAATCAACTATATTACTCCTGAAATCTATCTTACTGATAAATCATATTCAGCAAGGTAAAAATTGTTGCCAACTTGTATAAATATTTGAGATGTAAATTTTATTTAACAAATATATCCAATATGAATGTCTGTCTAATTTACTTGTTTTCTCCTTTTTTTCTTTATAGAGGATAAGGATCCTAATTTGGAAGCAATGTTGAATATCCCATCAGCACTTACTCCAACAGTAATTCCTGTTATAGTCACTGTCCCTCAAGGCAAAGCAAAAGGGAAAACAAAAGGCAAAGAAAAGCCCAAAGAATCTCTTAAAGAAGAGGAACACCTGAAAGAAGAAGAGAAAAAGGTGAATGGACCTTGCCATGATTCCCAAACTCTTCTTCTGCTTCAATGTTAACTTTTTAAAAATCGTGAGTTATGTCAATAGTGTTATTACAGTGCATACATTTTATTGCGTAGATTCACTAACATTCCTTGAAGTGTCAAGTTTGAATGGACAAGAAGATATTTGCACACAAGAGTTGAATTCCCATGCCAGGAGACATATTGTCATATACAAACTGTCTCAGGTCATTCATTCTAAACTCAGAAAGACTAGTTCAACCTTTTTTCCACCCTGGTTCTTAGGTGTTTTTGCTTTCGGTTGGTCAATTTTCTACTGTTCCTTATTTCAAATACTTTATTTAGTTCCATTGAGATAAACAACAATTGGAAGAGGAGGATCTCTAACTAAACAATGGAAACACTTGCATTTGGTAGACTTGGATTTAGATATTGATGTACTAAAAACTCGACAAGACTAAAGTACAAGTCACTAGTCCACCCTCTACCTCCAACCCTTCACCAAATGTAGACACACACACACATATACACACACACACACAACACACCGGCTTTGACTCTAAACATTTTCCTAATAGAAGAATATAGATCAAAAGAGGTTTTAGAAGAGGAACAAGAAGGAAACTACCTACCCAATCTTGACTCTTTTGCTATTTACTAGTACAGTGGTACGGTTTGTACAATGTAAAAATACTCAACTTATTAGAAGAAAAAACTGTGTTAAAAAGTGATCAAGAACCTGGATTTCAGACCCTGGCTCTTTAAATGTTATGGGGTTTGAATGTTACTTAGCCTCTGCATCATATTTACATAGCTATACTAGTTGAGTTTTCCCAAGCTAGGACACTTTACCTCGTTAAGTAAAAATATTCAAGTATTGAGCAAAATAACCCCAGGTAATTCATTATTTTAGCTGAAAGCAATTTGGTAGCAAACCAATCAGTTCACACAACATTTTTAAAAATTGGCAATAATGGAAAGGTGGGGGATATTACTGATTTTGTGTATAATGATAGATTTGTCATGGTGTGTTCATGTCTTTGAGTATTATTGTTCATTTTACCGACTTGCATAAGCTTTTTCCTCTTAATTTTGCTTTGTGTTTTTAATTGATTTTCAATTAACTATTCGTATTTTATTCTTCGTTAGTAACAAAGGCAGAACAACCTAAATGATCAACAGTAGAAGACTAGTTAGAATAAATTAAAGCTCCAGCAATGGGGGATCAGTTGAAATGATTTTAGTGGCTAATAAAAGAGAGCCAATTGGAAAAACTGAAATGATTATCATTAGGGATTGGTTGGAAGTAACCAAATAAGTTAAATTCTGGAGTTCATATAACCTAACAAGGGATTCAGGCATAGTTAGCATAAAATTAATTAAGACTTTTTTAAGTAGACACACCCAAACCCTCATTAATTTATAAAGAACTTTTTATTGTCTTTTATTTGTTTTTACTTACTACAAAAGCAACGCATGCTCATTGTAGAAAAATAAGGAGACATCCTGATAGCGTAATGTCTTTAGCATCCAAACTGCAAGAATTACACAAAGAAGGTAGTGGGGATATTGGTCAGCCTCTACGCCTACACATGCAAACAGAGACATCTTTCAAGGCCCAGTTCAGGCCCCAACTCCTCCCTGATCCTTTCCTAGTTATTCTCATTAACTTTGATACCTCCTTTGTCTGAGGAAAGATGTGCCAACCACTTGGTACTATTATTTAACTGTTTCACATGTCTGTGTGCCATTCTACAAGCAGAATATAAATTGTACAAAGAAGAAAACTCATGCACCCTTATAAGCTCCATTGCAGGGCCCACTAGTCCTGGGCAAGTCATACCCTAAGCACTCAGCAAGTCCTTGCTTAGTCATAACAAATCAATAGCTCATTTAGAAAATGACAAGCAATTATTCACATGTTAAATTATTTACAGGAAGAAGTAGAAACAGAACCTGTTTCACAAGAGACTTTTTATGTTCCCACCTTCCGAAACCTAAATGTGTCCTGCCCCAATGGGCTCCTAGTGACCTTCATTGGGCAAGAGTCTACAGGTGAGTGCTAGCTGGGGCGGGGCGGCAAGTCAGGGCGCAGAAAGTGCTATCGAAAACAGTTAAGTCACCACTGAAATTGTGTATTTTCCTACCAGTTAAACATATTTGTTGCTTATAAGGAACAATAGGCTAATGAATGATGACCACTTTTTGAGTACTTCCTATGGGTTAGGCACTATCTAAGTACTTAACATACATGACAAAATACAACTACAATAAGCTAAGTCCTAATAATTCCATTTTACCAAATACAGAAATTGAGGCTCCAGGAAGTTCAGTAACTTACCAAGGTCACTCAACTCCTAAGTGACAGAGAAAAAATGCCATTCTTGGTCCAGGGATGGCAAAGCCAGTGCTCTTACTGTGTGGCCCTATCTTCCTACCTCTACAAAGGGCCACAGGTACAGCACTTTGCTGGTCTGATCAAAACAAAAGACAGTGAACACAAAGTAGGTAGAGATAATTGAAGGTTAAATGGATGAAGAAAGCCAGCCCTGTTCCCAGGTACCACCATATAATTTTAGAAGGTCTGTTACTTCTGTGGATTCTGTACATGGCTCCTAACCTATTAAGATGAATAAATAAGTACAAGTAGGACTTTTTCAATTAACCTGATAGGGCATCCACATTGGTGATTGAATTTGAATATCGTTTAGATGGGGACTCACTACTGCAGTAGAATTAGGGAGGTGCCACAAAGCAAGCACTACACTGGGACTTGAATTCTAACCAACTATATGGCCCTTTCGATTATTCACTGTCTCTGGACCACGTTTCTTCATCTGATAAATGTTATATCAGTGGATTCTGATTTTTTCACAACAAAATATCTTCTTTGTTATAGCACCCTTATGTACACCATATTTGAAAAGTGTATCTATCAAAGAAAAAGTGTACATATTTGAAAAATAATTCAATGTCATGTGTATTTGCCAGCCAAAAAAACCACAAACTCACCGTTGTAGTTGATCTATTTTGTCTCAATTTTACTTTTAATTAGGATCTCTGAATTATTAAAAATAGACCATGGACCGTTGTTTCAATTTCCAAGGATTCCTGGTGATCCAGGTTTTCCATGGAATCGAGCGTGTGCGCTACAAAGACTGATGGCCATAAGGGTCTTCCAAAGTCAAAGATGCTATGAGTGAACTGAGAGGGATACTGTTTTCAAGTTCAAGGACATATTTGTTTGCTTGTTTACTTGATCCTGTTATCAAACACCAGCTTAATACTTGTTTCACCTGTCCTTTCCATTATTTCATTATCTAGTCTGACATTTTCATCCTTATGTCAGAGGAGACAATGTGGTTAATAATAACTCTGCCTGGAGCACATAATCTTTTTTAAACCTCCCATATATTATGAATATCCTAATTCATATCTGAACATAATTACAACGTGAATGCCGAAGTACCAATACCTTCATCAGGGTCAGCTGTGGACATAGGGAGAGAAGGTCACATGGTGTAAGGAGAAAGAACCTAGACTGGAGTTCTTTCCTGGGTGACCCTGGACAAGTCATAACCCCTTTCCAGGTAATTTCTTCATTTATAAAATAAGGCCATGTACTAAACAGAGTTTTTATAAGTATTAAATGAGAAAATACTTTCTAATCTGGAACATATTATTCCAATGTTAGGTTTTTGTTTTTGTTTTTTGGCTGTGGTAGCAGTGGTTGTTTTTACGGCATAAGAAAACTGTTAAGCAAAGACCTGGTTCAAATCCCAGCTCTGCCACTTACTGGCTGTGTGACCTTGGAGAAGTTATAACCCTTCCAAGCTTCCATTTATTCATCTGAGAACTCTGGAAAGTGAAAGGGTCTACCTTAAATGGTTGTTGAGGTGGGCCAAATAAGATACATATACAGAGCATTTAACATATAGAAATATCTCAATAAATGTTTATTATTTTATCATTATTATTACTTCTGTGACTTGAGGGGTATCATGAAGGGCCCTCATTTCAAATTATTTTACCACCAGCCTGATATAGTCCTTGAAATTCCATCATTACATGTTAATAAGCCACTTTATGAATTGAGAAGAGAAAATTATTCAGTTAGCAAAAACTGAGTGGCTACCGTATGCCAGAAATTCTCAGTAATAATAATGCTTTCTTTTGAAGGAACTTATTAGTTGCTTTTCTCCTTGATTGCCACTAAGAGTAGAACCCTGAAAAAACTCTGGATTTGGCTCGAGAAAGGGAGATTATGTTAACGTTGAAAGATGATGAATGATTTAGGAAGGGCAAGCCTGAGTGAGTAACTTCCTCTGGGGCTCCAGACAACCAAGGGACACTAGGGGAGCATTGCCTATCCAGGGGTGAGAGCTTACTGAAAGTGAGAGAAAAGTACCAATGGAGAGAAGAGGGAACATCTAAGACAGCAAAACTCTGCTTCTTTCCTAATTTTGCCCTGAGATGTCCTGGGCTTCATTAGATAGAATGGCTGATACATGAGAAGGTACCTATTAAGTACTTGTAGATGACCTTATTTATTACATTTGGCTATAACAAAGGCAGCAAATAACCAGTACTCTGAGACATCTGTCATGCCATGGAAACTGCCCTATTATTCAGATGTAGACAAAGAATGAAAAAAATTAAGCAAGAAGATAAAATCCCAGCCACATAGCATTGCCCAGTTCACAGTAAAGCTTTTTCTTTTTTTAAAGATCAATATGTTATAGACGAGGAACCCGTGTGGGACATCATGGTCCGACAGAGCTACCCCCAGAAGGTGAAACACTATGAGTTCTACAAAACGGTGATGCCACCCGTGGAGCAGGAGGCATCGAGAGTTATCACCAGTCAAGGCACTGTTGTCAAATACATGTTGGATGGATCCACACAGGTAAAAGAATGTGTTAGACAATTATTCTTTCCTGCTTCAAAGGAAAGAGCTATGAAGGGGCTGCTTACAAACAAGCTATGGGTAAGGAACAGTATTTTGACAGGGAGGAGGAACAACTCATTTGAAAATGAAATGATACTTTAAAATGACAAATAAAGAACAGTATGGTTAGAAGAAAAAACTATCTATGCAATCCAGGATACAAATAAACTTATCTTTCTGCATATGATACAAGATTACAGACTGAACACAGTGTTTACCTCTGCTCCCTCTCGAGGCACCTTAAAATAATAGAAAAATATTTTTAGATAATAAATTCACAACACTACTAGAGAACAACAAAGTGTGTCATCAATAGATCAGAGAGTTGGGAGAATTCCTAGAAAATGCAAGTCGGCTGAGATAAGGCTGATGGAGAAATAAGAGCAAAGTTTAAAACACATAAAGGAAAAAGCTTGCAGCAAAATTAAAAACCAACATGGGAGTTCTAACACAGACATTTCACAGATGGAGCTCAGAAATCGTAACAGTGCCCCAGGTAACTCACTAGTACCTGGTGGATGAGAACCAGAAACCATAATATCCAGAAGCCATATGCCCTGCTCCATCCCTCCCCGGTGATCACAGAGAAGGAGCTCCTATGACCAGACACTGCACCACCAAGAAGAGAAAAGGGATTCTTGATGAGAAGTAAAACCATGCACCCAAGAGTCACCACCCATGAGGAAAAATCCACCCGTGAAAGCAAATTACAAAATTCAATAAATTAAAGAAATAGCACCTAAAAATGAGTAAACAGTTAAACAAGAAAACTTGAAAGTGAGTAAAAGTAATGTAGACAGAGACTTGAGAGGTTAACAGTCCACAAAATAACAATTTTAAAAAGTTGCTATGGAAAAAAACAAGAGTTCTTAGATATTAAAAATAACAATTGTGAAAGATTACGGGGGGGTGGATTATGAGGGAGAGAAAAGTTAAAAGATGTGGAAAAGAGATCTGTATATTAGAATTTCCAGAAGAAGAAAATAATGAGAATGAATGGGGAAAATAATGAAAGAAATAATACAGTGAATTTTTCCAGAGCTTAAAAAAAAAATACTTCAGATTAAATAGGGCAACCAAGTCCCAATCAGGATTAATGCTAATTATCTTTAAAAGATCGTCTAGATATGTCATAATGCAATTTTAGGTCTGCATAGATAGACAATCCCAAAAGCTTCCTGAAGGGAAGCAGTTACCCATAAAACAATGACAAGATGGACATTAGATTTCTCATTAGCAACACTGGTGGTGATTCTTGTCATGTTCATTGGGAGGCTATAGGTACTGATACTGGTTAGATGTATCTGTAGTACCTATAGATACTATGTGTACAAGGAAGACGTTGATAGAAACTAATCATTTAAATATGTAATAAAGTTCTAAATGTAGTTTTAAAAAATTTGAAATAGAGTGGATAATTTCCTAATTGCATGGGGGAAGGGTGAACAATGGAAAAAAAAATAAAGCTCAAGTCAATCCAATAAAAGACAAGAAATAAAAAGAAAAGAAACAAAATGGAAAGTGAATGGAAAACATAGAATAATATTGCTGTCCTGGTTATTAAGCTATTGTCTCTGAGCTCCAAATCTACCCTTCTATAATATGCTTTGGAACGCTGAGTCTGGACGTCTGCAAATAGCATTTCTTCTTTGGATTAATTTTAACCTATGTCAGTTTGACACACAGTGTTAATTGTTAACCAGTCTCATCCTTGCTTCTGAGCACACTGAGAACTTTTTCTTTTCCTTCAGATTCTCTTTGCAAATGGTGCTGTGAGCAGTAGTCCCGATTCAGGTCCTGTTTGTCCTCCTGCTGAAATGCCAGCAAGCCCTCATAGCGGAGACTTGATGGACACAATTTCTCAGCAAAAATCAGAAACAGCACCGTCTGAGATTGTCATCACAAAGAAAGGTAATAATTGAAGCCTCTCAATTTATAATGGATTTAATGAAGTTTTTAAGTGCTTAATAAATGTTCTAAATCATTATTATACTTCTCAATGCATATATTCATATATACTCACATACATAGATATGAATTTTAACTGGAATCACGGCATTACACAGTTTCACGAACTGCTTTTTTCTCTTAGTAATAAATAATGAGCATTTTCCTATGTCATTATGTACTCTTATACAACGTTAGCTCTAACGCCTGGGCTGCCGTTTTAGGGTTAGTTGAGCGGATCAATGACGTCAAGGTTCTGAGTAGGCATCTCTGTAATTCTCTTAACCTTTTTCTCAGAGTTGCAAGGCAACACCAGCTCTAGGAATGAGGTCTTCGTATAGTAACTTCCAAAGCAGAAAGGAAAGAGAGTGAACACAAGAGCTTTCAAGTGTCTCTCTTGATGGGGGAGGAAACTATTTCCAGATCCTCCCCCAACCCCAGCAGACCTCTCCTTGTACCTCATTGACTAGAGCTGGCCGGGGACCTACGCTGAGAAAACAAGTAGCTGACATTTTGGGCTTTTTTTCTCAGGAGATGAGCATGACTAGTAGGGGAAAAAGAAGGTGCATAATAGTTGGGTAAGCAATCAACAGTGTCTACCGTAATCTAAATTACACACTTGATTTCCTCAGAGACATTTCCACTTTACGCCCCTACTTCCAGCACAGTATGAAAATATTTTCTTCCTCCTACCCTTTCCAATGCTGGATTTTCTCATTCTTTTAATCTTATTCAATCTTATTCAATTTGATAGACCTTATTATGTTAATTTTCATTTCTTTGATTACTAGAGAGTTAAATATTTAAAGTTTTTTTTTTTTCTGTCTGTGAATTTTCTATTCACATCTCTTCCTGGTTTACTATTGGGATATTCATCATTTTCATATTTACTTGTAAGAGATCTTTATGTATAGGATATGTGTATTAGTGTACCAGGCACAATCCTGAACACTTTAAAATATTAAATCAGCTAATCCTTGCAGCAATCCTGTGAGATATATATTTTAATAATCTCGTTTACAGATGAGGAAATTGAGACACAGAGACGTTACATAAATCCCTTAAGGTCCCTCAGCTAGTAAGTGTTAGAGATAGGATTTGAGTCCCCTCACCTAACTCCTAAATTGCACTGTATCTCATGCGTTACAAATTTTTCTCAATTTCTCATTACCTTTAATGATCTGAGACCTGTATTTAATCTTTTTTTGTCAATTTCACACATCTCACCACAGTAACCAGTAACCTTGTATGGAGGCAAACTGAATTCCTTTTTCGGTTACTCAAAATTTAGTGAAATAGATTTTCCTTTAGTGTCAGCAGGAGATTCCCAGTTGAAGTGAATGAAAGTATCCCCATAGCTTTCCAAACTTCCCAGCTTGAAGGCTCTCTCTTTTGTTGATGCAAGAGGACTTGGTATAAGGGTAGCCTCTTCCCCTAGAACCTAACCTGGTTCCAAGGGACTTCTGCCTCCAGCATGGTGTGTTGCAGATTTCTTCACAGCCCTTGCATCCAAGGGGATGCAGTCACTTTTTTGTGTGTGTGTGAGGAAGATCAGCCCTGAGCTAACGTCTGATGCCAATCCTCCTCTTTTTTTTTTTTTCCCCACTGAGGAAGACTGGCCCTGAGCTAACATCCATGCCCATCTTCCTCTACTTTATATGGGATGCCGCCACAGCATGGCTCGACAAGCGGTGCGTCGGTGCGCGCCCGGGATCCAAACCGGCAAACCCCGGGCCGCCACAGCGGAGTGCGTGCACTCAACCGCACCACCGGGCTGGCCCCAAAGCAGTCACTTTTTAAAAAAATGAATAGACTTTATTTTTTAGAGCAATTTTAGGTTTACGGAAAAAATGAGCAGAAAGTACAGAGAGTTGCCATATACTCCCTCTCTTCCCAGCTCACAGTTTTCCTTATTTTTAACATCTTGAAAGTGTGGTACATTTGTTAAGGTTGATGAACCAATATTGATACATTATTATTAACTCAAGTCCATAGTTTTGCATTAGAGTTCACTCTTTGTGTTGTATAGGTCTATGGGTTTTGACAAATGTATAATATCATGAATCGACCACTACGATATCATACAGAATAGTTTCATCACCCTAACAATCCCCTGTGCGCCATTTATTCATCCTCCTCTCCCCCACTCTGAACCACCCCCACCTTGAACTTCTGGCAGTCACTGATCTTTTTATTGTCTCTATAGTTTTGTCTTTTCCAGAAGGTCATTTAGTTGGAATCAACCAGTATGTAACCTTTTCAGACTGGCTCCTTTCACTTAGTAGTATACATTTAATATTCCTCCATATATTTTCATGGCTTGATAGCTCATTTCCTCTTATCACAGAATAATATTTTGTCATATGGATGTGCCATAGTTTGTTTATCCATTCACCTACTGAGGGATATATTGGTTGCTTCCAGTTCTTGGCAATTGTGAATAAAGCTGCTTATAAACATTTGCGTACAGGTTTTTGTATGGACATAAGTTTTCAGTTCATTTAAATAAATACTTAGAGGGATGATGGCTGGAATGTATATGTTCAGCTTTGTAAGAAATTGCCAGACTGTCTTCCAAAGTGGCTGTACTATTTTGCATTCCCACCAGCAATGAATGAGAGTTCCTGTCACCCCACATTCTTGTCAGCATTTGGTATTATCAGTTTTTTGGATTTTAGCCATTCTAATAGGCATGCGGTGGTATCTCATAGTTGTTTTAATTTTAATCCCTAATGATATATGATATTGAGCATCTTTTCAGATGCTTACTTACCAACCATATATCTTCTTTGCTGAGGCATCTGTTGAGATCTTTTGTCCATTTTTAAATTAGATTGTTTGTTTTCTTAGATGCATTTACTTTTAGAGGTTGTATTTTACTAGTGCTTTCTGAACTGCCATGTAAGGACCACCTCTACGCATACCTCTGGCACATTCCAAGCCTTCTCTCTCTATTTCATTCGGGATCCTGCTCCATTCATTTTAGATACTGGCCACACAATTTTCTCCCAGGATGGGATACTGGCCTTTTGGAATTTTGCTTGTTGGAAAATTCTGAGATCTATGAGCTCCTACACTTTCCTCCTCCCCATTCATTCCAGTAGCACTTCTACATCCATCCCCGTGGGCTTGCTCTTCAGCTCTGCTTTTGGCAGCACTTATGTTCAATTGAAGTTTGATGGTTTCCCTAGTTTTTCTACAAATGTAATTTCTGGATTTTTTTCATTGTTATTATTGCTTCATATGATTTCCAGGAGGAGAAGAGGGAAAATTCACAACTATGCTGCTGCCACATACCCGACAAAAATAGAAGTCTCTCATATTTCTTTCAGTTTATTTGCTAGTCTTTTTAATCTTCCTAAGGTGGATACTTAGTTCACTAATTTTTAGGCTTTCTTCTTTCCTAATATAAGCATTTGTGGCTATACATTTCCTTCCAAGTATTGTTAGCTTCGTCCTAGGAATTTTGTTTTAATATCAAGTTTATTGAGATATAATTCACATACCATAATATTCCTTTAAAGTAAACAGTTTTAGTATATTCACAGAGTTGTGGAACCATTTTCACTATCTAATTTCAGAGCATTTTCATCACCCCCCTCCCAAAAACCAGTACCATTAGCAGTCATTTCCCCTCCCCCCAGCACCTTGGAATCACTAATCTACTTTCTGTTTCTATGGATTTACATATTCTAGACATTTTATATAAATGGAAACATAAATATGTGGGCTTTTGTGACTGGCTCCTTTCATTTAGCATAATATTTTCAAGGTACATTTATGCTGTAACATGTATCAGTACTTGGTTTTTATGGTCGAATAATATCTATTGTATGGATATACCAATTTTGTTTACCCGTTCATCAATTGATGGAC